TCGGTTTTAACTCTATTATAGTAATTGTGGTACTACAAGAACGCCATTATGGAGGCGTTCGCCCCAGGGTGCTACGATTTGCAATGCATGTGGACTTTATCTAAAGGCGCGCAATTCGTCGCGCCCAACGAATTTAAAACGGCCGCCATCAACAGTATCTACTACTCCGAAAAGGACACCCGAGAAGACTTCTTCTAGCTCATGTTCTCAAGGCAACTCGGCAAATATTCCCGGGGCCACGTACGTCGCTGCGGATCAAATGCCTAATGGATCATGCCCAGGTGGGGGACGATGCAATGGTACCGGCGGCGCCGAGGGATGTAGTGGCTGTCCGGCGTATAATAACCGAGTAGCGAAGAGTGCTCAGCTCCAGAACCAAAATCGGGCGTCCGGCAATGCAAGCGGGCCCCCTCCAGACGATGGGCCGGCTCCGATAGACATAAATGCGCAGCAAGCCGCGGCTCAGAATACGACCGTGGTAATAGCCTGCCAAAATTGTGGTACTACAATAACTCCGTTGTGGCGTCGTGATGAATCGGGTCATACCATATGCAATGCCTGTGGTATGTATACACTTAAGTTGTATGATGGGTGTTAGCTAATCGTAGTAGGGTTATATTACAAACTTCACGGAGTTCACCGGCCAGTTACTATGAAGAAATCCGTCATTAAGAGGAGAAAGCGTGTAATACCAGCGAATCAAATGGACAGTGGGTCGGAGGATGCAATGACGATTGATTCTATTGAACAGAGCCAGTATACCGAAGTCGAGATGGAGCGTGGTAGCGTCAACGAGGACGGGTCTATTAATCTCGGTTTACGTCGAAAGACCGAACATCCACTCACATTACTCCCTGATCCGGTCCGGTCCGGTCCCGCTTCGGCTCCGATATCCTCGAACGATCTCACAGCGTATCACACTACTAATGCACCTCATAATTTCGATATTCGGGATTCTCTCACCGACGACAATCGTTTGGCCCCGTTAAAATCACTTGCGGCATTGAGTGATCGTCAGTCGTCTCTATCACCCGCGTCATTCCTTTCACCGTCGAGGAAACGCTCCTTCTCGGGAACTGATTCGGAATACGCACCGAGCGAACCCGGATATGATAACTCCAAAAGGTTGTCCTCTATCAAGTCTCTTCTTAACCCGGCGTCGGAATTAAATCCTAACTTTTACCCGGCCGATAATCCCGCTGAGGCACTGCGTCTTCGATCCCCGGCTACTACAATCGTGTCAGTACCAAGCCCCAGCCCGCAGGGGATGATGTCGAACGTATTGCCCGCGATCCAATCTCGAGAAAGCACGGCCGAGGATGACAAATCGAAGGCTGATAGGCTAGCGGCACTTCAACAAGAAGCCGAACGGATTCGACAAATGCTCGCGGCGAAAGAACGTGAGATGGCCGCGCTGCAGAAGTAGGGGGCGTTCTTTGCTATCTGAATTCGCGTTGATTTCTTTTATTTTGATGACCAAAATTACGACTGGGAGCTACAGGAGTTAATCTAAGGAAACAAAGCGAAAACGCAAAAGGACAAATCAAACACTACGGGGCGTCATAGGGTCGAGTTTTTCATCAGCAGCCTTTGCTTTTCGGCAGCATAGCATATGTGCTCGGCGTATCGTGAGCTCGCAGAATACATGCGAGGGTTAGGAGGCATGATATTACGAATTGCGGAGCATGGTCACAATATTCCCATGGTATGGGCAAGCCAACTGATTTTTAATGGTATTCCACGCAACAAACTATATAACCTAGTTGGAAGGAAGTATGGAAAGGATAGGGCCGGGTAGGGAACAAGTTCAACGAAAGTATCTATCTAGTTCAAGAGGATCAAGGCGTAAATCACGAGCTTCATAAATAATATCCTACTAGCGCAAGAAATGCAAAGGCCTCTGGAAAAAACAGTGTCTTGACATGTTTACCTCGTTCTCACTAACCATCCCCTACCATCCCCTACCAGGTAAATAAATATCCAGTCTTGCGTAACACATGACTCGGTTGTACATAACAGAACTCATTCCCCGCCGTTATTCGTACATATAAGTTATCACTACCGGCCCAGCCACCCCCCTTACCGAACGAATTAACTTTCTAAGCATTTTCATTCCAATAGAATTCCTCACTTCAAATTCTACGTGATCAACCTCCACCAAGAAATTGGCAAGCTGGACGCCTTACAGCTAGAGGGTAACACTCACCCCTTGCCCATGCAGGCTCGAAGGCAGAGATGCTAGAAGTCATGCCGTGCCTATTATTATACCTGCTCGGCACCCCAACCAGCATCGGCCTCGCGCATGTTGGCGGGGGGCTCGATAGAGGGGACGAACTCGAGCGCGATGTAAGCGAGGCCGACGAGACCGACGATAGAGCCGGCGATGATGCGCAAGACGCCGTTGTTCAGCAGGATGGAGCCGACGAAGACGTAGAAGATGCCGCGGCCGATGAAGGAGAACATAAAGGAGGCGTAGCGCGAGACTTGCGGGGGGATCTGGAATTCGAGGAGGGCGACGGCCAGACCGAAGATTAGGACGTAGGCGCCGATTATGATGGATTGGCTGGGGGAGCGGGGGTCAGTGAGAAGAAGGGATGGTGTGGTGTATGGAGGAGGGGAGGAGGGGAGGTACGTACAAGCCGAGGTTGAAGAACTGCGATATTCCGCCCAGCACCATGATGACGCCCACCGCGAGGTTGACGATTCGACTAAGAAAGAAGGGCCGTGTTAGCTAGCTAGCGCATCCGTATGTTTTCTTGGACGGGACGGTCTGTGGGGAAATGGGAAGGAAGGTTTTTTGGTAGGGCGTAGGGCGCAGTGCGTAGTGCGTACAATGAGTCGGAGAAATCCATCTTTGCGATTTGATAGATAGATAGCTTGTAGATTACTTTAGTCGCTTGCGCTTTTTTTGAATCAAGAACGCGCGAGGTCGGGGGTCTGTTTGTTGTAGGTAGCTTTGCAACGAAGAAAGGATTGATGATGTTCGCGATTGCGGAGATGGCTTCGTGCTTCCTACAGGCAGATGGCAGATGCTTTGTCGATAAGTACCTAACCTAAGGTTTATGGATTGAGTGGTCGTAGGTTTGGCGTCAGGAGGCTGGAGCTAGTTTACTATTTTGAATTTTATTTTATTTTTCCTACTTTCCCAGGTTGTCGGTCATGCCTTTGATAGGAAAAGCTTCTGAGTGTACGTTGTTGTTGTTGTTGTTGCAGCTTGCGTCTGCTAGCGTCGACAGGGGGGGGTCTGTTTCTTCAAAACGTTCTTCAGGGGTTGTCGTCATCAACACCAGCCACGCGTCTAAGCCGCATTGGCATGTCTGTGCACTAGGTTAGCCACATGTGATGGAAAAGGGGGGAGTAGTACGAAGTTTCTTAATTAGGTTGACTTGAGAGAAATATACTCGATTTGAGGTTTCATTAAAACTTCATAAATATCTTAGCGCAGTGCATTGGACTTGCTTGAGCGTAAAATAAATATGCCTCATACGAGAATTCTAGAAAACGCATAGACAGTAGGTACTCCCCTTCAATAATAGCGCCCGCTGGGGCTACTTACACATGAGTATGGTCTTGCGGTTAACCTTGCTTCTGAATAGATAATTTTTAAGGATACGCTTTTATGAAAATTAACAGTTTGCGTTTTTAAGGCTGGACGATTCCTAGACTAAACATGTACGGCTCCCAGATTTTAGTTACTGGGTTACTACTATGTACCATCCCATCTTCTTAACTCCTGAAGGTGTTAAAGGAGTTAGGCATGGTGTTAAGTCTACGCATATTTTCTTATTGGCGAAACTACTCTAACTACGCTTTGATAGCTTTGTTTACATCTTACTAGTTTGGGAATATTGTTATTGCCACCAACCTGATACTCGGCGTATCCCCTCGACTGGCATTCAACCACACCTCCATTATTTCAGTATCACTACATAGTAGTACAAACCATAAATATCGTTGGTCGATTTAGCCATCTTCTCTTTCCTGGCCAATTCCTACGTATCAATACTGAAAATAGTGGACGTGTAGTTGAATGCCAGTCAAGGGGATGATACACGACATAAATAATATTCTCGAGCGATATGAGCTGTTGTAAAAACAAATTCGACATTGCATAGGTTCTTGTTTTAATATATCTTCCAATTGCCTCCATATAAAATGTTGCTTTATTATCGCGTTACCTAAGTTTACCTGTAAACCGCACAACGATACGTAATCGTTTTCTCTAAGTTTGATTCTTCGATACGGTGGAGAGAATCCTCAACAAAAATGATACACCTACCAATTAGGCTCCTGGCTAAGTCAAAGAGCCTCTGAATAGCTTCAAACACCCTCAGGATAGCTTTGTGCCCGCCAGGAAAGCTTTCCGGAAAACCCCAGCGCAGAACTGGCCACGTATACACCTGCTACTACAGTCGGCCCTATGTCATCGTCAACTAGAGTTAGGTTACAGAAGCAGGCAGACTAGTGGTAACAGACATTGGGGATAGGCATATTATTACTTTGGTGGCGTCCAAATCTAAAACTCTGGTCTAGACATGGCATTGGGTACCCACGGATGACCGACCCATTGGTAATGGCATAACTTATTTTCATAGTTTAGCAGCTCTCGTGGACTCAAACCTAACACAACTAGTCAAAATTAAACACAGACCTTTCTAGTTGTTTGCATTTAGTTTATTTAGTTTTATCTTATTCCAATGGTATAAATATCTAGGCTGCTCTCCCATCACTCCGTCTTGGATTTTCACCATACTTCACAACCGAAAACCGATCTTCAAGTATTACCACTCGAATCCAATTTACTACGAAAGGCATTCCCTAGCATACATATAGCATAAAGTTGAAGGTAAGTAACGATATTTTCTTGGAACTCCATTTATTCATACTGCTTTGGACTTATATTTCCCAATAGTCGTCTCCTATCGTCATCATCATCATCATCATCATCATCATCATCATCCTAAATATTCTATAGGATCCATACAGTCAACATATTCATCATGGCTCATGTCAACGGAAACCACGGAGGAAATCCCCACAACCCCCTTAACCAAAGTGCGAACATCGCTGCGTCCCAGAGCACCTCAGTATGGGTGACCAATCTCCCAGGAGATTGTACCGTCCAGCAGTTGCTCGCCCCTATAAGACGAGTTGGCAAGATATTCTTTGTCCACATCAACCCCCCTACCAAGGAGATCCCCACCTCGGCGGCCAAGATCATCTTTTGGGATCGCCGGGCAACCGATAATTTCCTTGATCTTATCAGGCAAGATAAGATCGAGTTTGGAGGGCTTAAACCTTCAGTAAAAATGCACCGCATCCGAGTAGCACCACAACCAGAGTCGGCCTGCAGCCGCGTCCTCATCATCTGGGGCCCGCCTCAGGTCGTCGACATGGAGGTCTTGGAGCCCCTCTTCCGCTCCGAGATCGATTTCCAGATCGACGACATTGAGCAGTGGATGTGGCGCGGCGAGCGGAGGCTCGAGATCCGCTTCGGCTCGTATAGAGCCCAGGCTGCCCGGGCAGAGCGGATGCTACGGGCATTACAGAGGGGGGAGACGACTAGGTACGCCACCGCGAACTTGACGCCAGAGCAGCGCATCTTTCTGGGCCTTATCAGGATACTATGGGGCGGTGATCCTTGTGAGCTGTGGTAGACACTCACGCCTTTATTTCGGCTCACGAACGACTGAGCTAGGAGACATATATCTCCTATTATACGACACATTTCACTATTCCTAGTATTATACAATTAGGCTCGCTGGTTACTAGAGATTGCTTATTACAACCATCACGGCGTTCAGCATTGGCCCTTTCATTACTATACCCCAACATCATCACGCTATCTTCATCGGCACAACATAGCGGCAGCGGCAAAATTCTTTATGCAAATTACAACAACCCGAGCAGGAGAACAGTTCTACCGAAGCAAAAGCAAATTGGATTTTTTGGGGGAGGACATGAGGGAGGAATTTCTTAGTATTTGAATTATAGGGATGGGATCAGCTTGGCGTTGTAGGGCTAACTGACATATGTACTGGCGCTGCTTGGATAGGATGTCTTATAGTTATTGTTTAATAAATCAAGTCGACACATTCGAACAAATATTCTGTAGTAACCCACATTTTAAAGCTATTTCAGGAAGTAGAGATTTTGTTAGAGGTTTATGGGGTGAGATAACAGTTACCACGAATGAGGTTTTAGGACCGAAACAAGGCCTATAATAGAGATTAAGGTTACGGGCAAGGCTTAGCGATTGGGTTTTAGACTCAGCCTTACGAGTAAGCCAGTAGCCATAGCAACAAGGCCTTTAGTACGACCGAAATAAGGCCTAGGTTATAGTTATAAGGCTAGGTATAAAGCTTCAAGGTTTTACTAGTTGTTTTGGCTACGTTCTAGGATTTTACTAGTTATTTCGATTACGTACGTTTAGGAGGTCGTAAGATTTTCCTACTTGTTTCCAGAGAGTTGCGGTTGTGGCAGGGAATAGTACGGTAGCAGTGATGTTAGAGGCGACAACAAAAGAAAAGATAAGAGACGAATATCTATTTTATTATAGGGTATAAGCGAGGTTAATAGTAAGGTCCTATTAAATTGTAATGTTGTACGTCCTCAGGTGCCAGCAAGACATAGGTACATACTCCATATATTATATCATACCTATATATCATGCGGTGGAAGTCGAAAATAAAGTAGCTTGCAAGTTAATAGCTATCCGTACTAAAAGTATCCTTCGTTCTAGATATATCACCTGAGATCCTAGGTAATATCCCGCTTATATGTACTACTAGTTAAGACGCTAAAGAGACCAACAAAAAGAAAACGAAAAAAAAAAAAAACATACAACACCGGGGATTCGCTGGTCGTCACCGACCCAACTACTAGTCCAGCGGTATCCGGCTTGTCTAGGGGAGAGCGGACGGGATCCCGAATTTTCCAGATCCTATGGTCGTATGTGATAGTTTGTGTGGTTTTTACAACTTATGTACCTGGGTGGGTGCTTGACTCGACACCCGAGTCCTAATACCTTAACGTTGTCTCAGAACAACCAAAGCGCACTTATACTACCTTGGGTATGGCTCAAAAAAGTTAATCAATTATATTTATACTAATATATAGGTATATATATATATATTTGTATGGGTTGTTAATATCGGGTGAGCACCCCCTTTATCTGTTTCCTCGTAATCTTATACTATTGGAAATTTCTTAACCATGACATTGTATTATTTTTAACTGTAAGGTCTGTAAATGATTTGTAGGTAATAAACTAACGTATATGAATAATCAAGTTCGGTGTTAAGGAGAACGAAAACAATCATAGATAGCGTGGTGTAGCGTATTACACGAGAAGGATATTTATCCAAGTCGAGCAGCTCGAGCAACGAAATCTAAATGAACAATAAGCGTGTCTTTCTGCGTTTATAAAGCATATGGGAGATTACTATCGATACTCGGTACAACGAAATAGCCATCCCAAGATTAGAGAAAACTACCCATAGGGCAAGGTATAATAGGACTAGGAGAAATGCCGTAACAATCGCCCGTGTAGACGGTATAAGCATTCTTGGCTTCATTCCGGTATCTTGGGATAACACTCTTAGCAGTCCCCATCTTCTGGAAAGCGGCCGGTCTTATAGTCACTGCCACTAGACTTCTAGTCTCGGCACAGCGATGATGATGTATGTCTATGTAATTGGCGAAGCGTGCCGAGCCCTCCCTGAGAAGCGAAACCTTATGATCCCTTCGACACATTAGAGCCGACTTAGCTCGACGCCGTAGATTATCGCCAAGCGTCGGTAGGTATTAAATTACCAGCCCTATGGCATTAATCGCGAGTAGCTTGTTTGAGAACCATCCCCGTTGAAACGAGGGCGTCTTAAAGGGTTATAACGGGTTGTGCTATAAGGCCTGGTAGGTAGGCAGGTAGGTAGTCTGTAAGGACTGGCAGCTCACTGCGATAATAAGAACATGACCCAACTTCCGGCTGATAAACTCTAATGTTGCCGATCATATGCTCAACTGTCCCTCCTCGCGGTTAGAGCAACGGTCCGGGTCCGAGAAGAGATGTTTGTTTCTACTCCCAAGACTAACGGATAGCACCTCATTGTTGCTGTTACGCAGACTACCTAATCGTCTCAATACAATCTGACGATATATTTGCAAAAAAGGGGCTGGGCGAATCCAACCAACGCGGAGGCAAGATTACGTTGCAGCATCATCCACCCGACCATTCGATCTCGACCCTGTTCGTGCTAGACCCAATACCTACCTACCTCCCTAACGCACGGCCACACGTTTGGGATATAAACTCTATCTCGGGCCTGGCTGCTCTACCGATGCTGCTACTGCAATTAACTCGGGAGGGGTAAGGGGGGGACACGAGAGATCGTGATAGGCTTGTTGCTGTTGCCGCCGTTGTTGTTACCTATTGTTGCAGAAAACCCCCCAACCCCCTATTCCCATCTCTAGCACGATAGACTCCAGACCCAAAACGCTACGAGGCCGCACGCCGTGGCGCATACTGTAGGTAGCCGGTCTAGGTTTTATAAGAAGAGCCAACGGGATTTGTAGCATCGTACGTGGGAGATATAAGGTCGCAATCCTGATTACGGGATACGCGTTAGGTATCTCGCACCTCGTTTTTCTTTTTTGCTCCTTTAGAACCGCCAACCGAGTTCGCTTACTTACCTACCACCTATTATTTTCCAGTCCTCTCCGCCATGGTATATCGACGCTTCGCCATACAAATGTAACGCCCTACGACCGCTAATCTGGCAGCCAGATCTCTCTCTATTTAGTGGTTGGGGCATAAGAGAGAACGAGACCTGTAATCTCAAGGCTGTGTCCTCGGGACTGAGGAGGACATCGCCCGCTTCGAAATGCTTAGGAGAGATAAAACTGCTACGTCCGGGAACTGGACGGCTCCGGCTCCCAATGGGAACGGAAGTCAAGTAGGTCATGACGAAGATGCTGTCTGTCTGTCTATATGAGAAAACCACCAAACACTAACGAATATCGAACCCCAGCTGTCCAAGCCTCACGGCCCGCCGTACGCATCTACCATGGCCATCGTAGGCGGCGAGCCCTCCCCCGCGGTCGACGACCCCATCGCCGTCGTCCTACTCGTGCTATTCCTCCTCTCGGCAGCAGCGCACCTGGCCGTCCTGCGCATCAACAGGCAGCGCAACCTCAAGTTCGTCTTCTCAGGCATGCTGTTCGCGCTGTGTCTCCTCCGCGGCGTCTCGCTCGTCGCCCGCATGATCTGGGCCTCGTACCCCAAGGCCGTCGACGCCCTCATCGCCGCCAGCGTCATGACCCAGGCCGGCTCCGTGCTCATCTTCATCATCAACTTGTTCTTCGCCCAGCGCGTCCTCCGCGCCTATCATCCCCGCCTCGGCTGGCACCGCGGCACCCGCGGCTTCGTCTGGTTCCTCATCGCTTGTGTCCTGTGCTGCCTCGTCATGGCTATCGTCGCTACTATCCATAGCTTTTATACCCTAGACACTCGCGCTCGCCGTGCCGACCGCGCCGTCCAGCTTTTCGCTGGCTTGTATTTGGCCTTTCTGGCTTTCCTACCCGTGCCTGTCGTTGGGCTGGCAGCAGCCGCACAGCACGCGAGGCGTTTCCGCTTCCACCGTGTTGAGAAGTTCGGCGAAGGTCGGTGGCGCAACAAGGTCGGACTGTTAGTATTCGCATCACTAGTGGCTACCTTGGGCGCCGCATTTCGAGTAGGAGTCAACTTCGACGGTCGTCCTAGCTCCAAACCGGCTTGGTTCCATAGTAAAGCCTGCTACTACGGCTTCAACTTCGTCACCGACCTCGTCGTGTCTACCGCATACCTACTGGCCCGTTTTGACCGACGTTTCATCGTACCCGACGGCGCCCAGGGTCCCGGAGACTACTCCCCTATTGTCCCATCCATGCACTCCACCACCTCCAACAGCAACCTCGTCGGCAAGCTGCCCATCATGGGGGCTAGGAAAACCACAACCACGATACGATCCCCCCTTATCCCAACGACCCCAACTCCCACTCCCACTCCATCACCACCTACTCCCACCCCTCCTCCCCAACAATCTACAACGCCATCCCCGTCGTCCTCGCAGTCGCAGCGCAACAACAGCACCACAACATCCGCCTACCACACCGACTCGTCCAACACAGCCGTGCACACGAGCAGCAGCCTCGACCAGAAACAGCCCTCCCTCTCCCCTGACCCTCTCCCCCTTTTATTCCCACCCCAACCCCAACCCCAGCCCCAGCCCCAACCGCACAGACCCGCCCTCCGCACCCGCAACCGCGGCCGCCGTGCCATCATGCTGCGCATGCGCATCAACAGCGAAGCCGACGCGTACGGGCCCGACTGCGGCACGGAGCCCCTAGTCGGAAGCGGAAGCGGGGAAGAACCAGAACCAGGAGAAGGGAGGAGATCGACGTCGCCGTCGCGGCTACGCGCCCCGGCCCCCGCGCACCTCGGCCCGCCGATCCTGCCCGCGCTAGATTTAGATCTGGAATTGCTAAGCGCGACGTTGCTGGCGCCGTGGGCGCTGGACAGCTGGGGCTTCGAGACGGGGCCGTCTCGGCGGGGGTCGCGGAGCGGGTTGTTGAGGAATGGTAGTCGTAGTAGTCGCAGTGGTGGTGGTAGTGGAAACAGCAGCAGCAGCAGGAATAATGTCAGTGGTGGTGATGATGGAAATAGCGAAGGTGGAAGCAGGGATGTAATTATAAATAATGCTGGGAGTAACGAGAGGAATAGTAGCGAGATGAGTATTAGGAGCGGTGGTGGCCGAAGTTGGAGTTTTAGTTTCGGTCAGCCGCCGGTGCGGGCGAGGACTTTGTAAGGTATTCTACTGACTGAACGATTGGCCGGAGGGGGAGGAGAGGTTGCGGAGAGACAGACAGAGAGAGGAGAAGGGAAGATATTGTATACTGGGAGGGAGAGAAGCATTGTTTTGTTACCAATATCACTGGCGTCAAGGAGCTGCTATAATGAGGGAAACACTACTGGTGGGGGAAATGTTGTATATGTTGTTGCATAAGGATGAATTAGAAATTGTGTGCATATGTATACTACTTAACATTACGATATTTAATGATTATACCTGAATAATTGGTTTCTACACAATGAGAATGGGATAGTAACCATCTTGGACCATCTTGGATGCGGCGAAGGAGATTTAATTCCCACTTGGGATACTTATAGGGGTCAGTCATTATAATTACTTCTGTTACTTCTCTCTTGTATCTAAATCTTATTAACCGCAAAGATGTCACGTTCGAGTAAAGTGAGCTCATCTCACAATCGAAGCCAAAGTCTCTCTTTCTTCATTCATGAAATACAATGTTTGGGTAGCTACTCTGCAGTGGGCTGCTCATAATGCTTTGCCCACCAAAAAGATAGGCTCCAAATGTGGTATCGTAACTAAGGGACGCGATAGTCCCGCGTCAGATCCCCTTCCTTCGCTATACCAACCACATCGGCACCGGCCTAGTTAAGGCCGCCCACGCTCGAGGTTGTTAACGGCTTACATACTGGAAGATGCTACTTATGGCGCCGACACATTCGTACGTCGCTTTCTGACTTTCGGCATAGCAGGGGTATAGCGATCTAGGCTCAACGTAACTCCCAGACACCTTCAAACCTTGTACCCACGCTTGTCCAACGCGTGGCACTAAGATTTGCTGGACGCTTAGAGGAAGTAGTCTGGTGTGCCTATAGTCGAAGTCAGTTTTGATGCCACTAGGAAAATAAAATGGCCTGTGAAACTTACGTCGGGAAACCATCGGCTCGCCAGCCCGCGGGCACGGGTCGAACTGTAAGCTGTGCGAAGTGGTAAGCATATATTTCCAAGTCAAAGCTCCAACGTCTCGTCGAGCTTTAATATGTTAATATTGACCACTTACAAGGTATACTTCAGATGTTCGTCGATTTCCATGATAGCTGCTTGGTTGCCGCATCGGTAGCAGTAGTTAGGTGCTAGGAATAATTAGTAGACTGCTCTCGAAACACGAAGCTATAGCGACTCACCAGAGAAGATGGTTACCACATTTCTATCTTGCGACCAATTATATCCTTCCATAACCAGTTGGTGGGCTCGGGCAATCAGGGTTAGACCGTTGTTATGATTGAATGCCTCCGAAATATCCTGCCCGAAGGTGTAGCCGGCACCGCGAGGGCTAATACCCCAGCCGCATCGGTCATCCGGGTCAGACCAGAGCAGGTCGCACATAGGACCCTCGTGCGGAACTTCTTGGATTCGGTCAAGCGCTCTAATATTATCAAGGGTATCGATGCTAGGCGAGAGACCACCGTGGAGACAGAAGATTTGGTTGTCGATGAGGGCAGTCAGGGGGAGATAGTCGAAAAGATCGGTAAAGAATTTCCAAACGTTGGCATTACCGTATTTCCGAAGGCACTCGTCGTAGAAACCATACACTTGGGTGATCTGACGGGACTCGTGGTTGCCGCGCAGGATGGTGATGCGTTGGGGGTATCGGATCTTAAGGGCAACTAGTAGAGTTACCGTCTCGACGGAGTAGTATCCTCGATCGACGTAGTCACCTATACCAATAATTAATAACCATATTTCCCACGACTCTCCACCGGTTATTGAATAACGTACCCATAAACAGGTAGTTTGTATCGGGGTTGGGACCTCCAATCTTGAATAGTTCCATCAAATCATGAAATTGACCGTGGATATCACCACAGACCGTCACCGGGCATTTCTATACAGACGACAGACGTGAGCAGAGGCGGTCAAAACAGAGTACAGGGCAACATACCACCGGCTGAACATTGGACTCGTCCTGCAGGACCTCCCTCGCCTAGAATACAACGGTATCAGTATGGTATTTTATGGTGAGACATGACACAGCTGCAAATGATATGCGATGGCTCACCTTCTCGCAAAGCCTCTGAACATCAGCTTCTGCAAGCTGCTTGCAGTTCATCAGGCCCTCGATCCAACCGTCTAAAGTAGGGATCGTCGTGGGCTCTGAGGGGGGCATCGGTGCCAATTCAGCAGGTACTCGCCCGACGTCTTCCATATTGGTATCCATGTTGATAGACGGGAGCCAAAGTCAGGTCGCACGACGGTAACTAGGGTATTCTATCCGTTTTATCCAGAGATAAGATCGCGGGATCTTTCGCGAGGCCCGAGCGAGATCGTTGAATCGATAGAGTCAAGGGGATAGTTGACTCGGGATGACGTTTAGGGCACCGGTAACAGGACAGCGCCTCTTCGTTGGTGTGTGTGTATGGTTTGGGGTGGGGCTTGGAAGGGTATCGTCGCAGGAGAAAGAGGAGAAGAAGAAGCAGAAAAAAACAACAACAAAGAGTTATTAATGGTAAGCTCGCTCAATAATTCTTTTAGAAGTTTAGTGGTCGTTCTTGAAGTATCCTGTCGCGTGTCAAGTGGGATTGAAGGGGGTATTGTGGTATTGTGGGAGTTGTCACGGGCGATTACGAAAGTAGGATTTTTCCCTGTTTGATGAATAGCACAGGATGGTATGTAGTATGTAGAAGTTGGACCTTACAAAGGGATGTTAGCTGGTTAGGTACCAAAATGTACCTTATTCAAGCGCTACAAGGGTAACCACAATGTACTACGTACCTCCGCATTGTGTACTTTGAATATACGTCAGTTGCCACTTAAAATTGCGGCTCTTTTTTTCACCCCACCCCCTCAAGCCCCTTACGCCCCCTAGGTATACATATGCCCTATATTTGTACATACATAGGTATGGTACCTAAGTTTTATAAGGCCGCAATTATCTATCAAATGAATTGTTTCTAATTCATGTATATGAGGTATATACCTATGTATGTATAGATCCCATTCAATAATACCTATACTGCAAGATTGATCGGGATTGTGTTCAAAATGTAATGTGCGGGACTTGCTTTTAAGAGCCAGAGCAAGCGCAAGGTTACTTCATCTAGTAATACATCTGAACCTATGCCAACCCAAGTCCAACCGGACTGTTAGCGTTCGCTCCCTGAGGTTCTCTGCCCACTAGATCTCCGAAGTCCAACTGCACTTCCGAGAGCATCTCGGCGTGGATTTTGGCTCTCTCCATACACTGTTTCCATACGACACCGTCTCTTTCCGTGCTGCTCAGCTGCCTGGCTAGAATTACGTTGAAAGCATCCACTACTTCCTTGGCCCATTTCACACAAGCGCTCATCATCGTCTGGGGGAAGCAGCTTTGGAAGCAGCTTACAGTATTTTTAATTATGCTGAAATAGACGAATGAAATTTGCCAGATGTAGAGGTGGAGGTCGCCTTGGAAGATGCATTGTCTATGTCGAGTTAGTATATGAAAAGCTCCTTCAACACCTTCTAGAAACCTACCTTGAACGCTTCTGAATTAAGTCACCACGAGCCTTGAGATACGCATCTCGGGCGCGATCCTCGAATCCTAGCCTATTAAGCCATTCGACGTTACGTTTCGTTTTAAGCGGCTGACTATGTGAGTCGACAACTTCTCGTATGATCAGACCAGCTAGCTTGGTGCATCTCTCCTCGATTTTGAAGTCGATAAAGTCTTGCGCAATAATATTATTCTTCAACCCGCGAGCAAGCTTCTGCATCTTCTCAACGCGATCGACTGCTAGATCAAACTTCTGAAGTGCGATGTCGATGTCAAGCTCGTCCATCTGACCCTCAACCCAGCGGAGATTTTGCTGCTTCCCATCCACCTCGATTAGCATGTCCTTAATGTCAGAAAGCGTCTCGAGTAGCTCCGTTTTCTGTAATAAACCCGGATCTCGGGAAGCGAAGTAATTAATAGTCTCTTTGGCCTTGTTATTCGCTTCCATCTCGGACTGTAGGTTCTTTCGCAATTCCTCAACCGCTTTTCGAATGTTTAATAGTAAGGCTGATTTCTCGGGATCTTCTTGCTTTTCTGTCTTGTAGATGAACGATTCCTGACCGACGCCTCGAACCATGATAGCATCTACTAGTTTATTCTTGCCGCTAAACGATTCGGTGGTTACCGCCATATCAGTAATCTCGACATCCAGAAGCGGCCAACAGCGATCCGCAACTAACTTAGTCGCTGGGCCACGCGTGTCGTTCGGGTTGTCCGTCTTACGTTTTTTCCGCGAAGCGACAAGAAGGTGATCGTTGAGGAGAAATATTTGCATGGATCGCCTTGATTTGTACGTCGCATTGTCGAGCTCGATCCAGGGCCCGGCATCCTGGATAACATGCCTCCCCATCGAATTAGGTAGGAACTTCTGAGAACCCTCGACATTCTTGTAGAGAACTTGCATTTGAGTATTCCAAAGGACTGTTCTATCCGCCACCGAACTGCGTCTATCTTTTTTACTCAAGCCGGTCGAGAACTCTCCGCTCATAGGCGTGCCGTGGTTATTAGATGCAGCCCTGAGCGCATTCGTATTCGTGGCTAACTCTTTAAATAAATTGCGCAAGGTGCGCATTTCCGACTTCAATTTTTCCGCCTCTTTGCTAATCTTTATGAACTGCGCCCGGTTTTGGTAGACACTTTGCTGTAAATCCGCCGCTGCCCTACTCTTTAACTTGCGTAAGGCAGTTTCGTAGTCCCTAATCTCATCTTCAGTAGCCTCGCTAAGGATATTGGCGACGTATTGATCGGGGACGAGTCTCGGGTCTCTTAGTGCCTTCGGGTCTACGGTTGGAGGCACGCCCCTAGTTAAACCTGCACCCGGACCATCACGCGACGGGGGTGCTTGAAACCGCGATGCCTGCTGATCGTATTTGGAGATATCGAAAGCGGGCATAGAAGGGACCGGGGGAGCAGTTGGGTCGAAATCACTGGGGAGATTATTAAACCGGGTTGAATATCGTCGCTTAACAAGGTCGCCAGTCTGAGGGTCATAATTAGTAAGTAGAACAAAGCCGTAATGTAGGAGCACTTTAACTTACTTTTCCACCAGTTGCGGGAGGTTGTCGCTGTCGGGGTGGCGGTGGGTTGTCAGTCCCAACTTTCCCTCCGGTGCTACGAGGAACTGGAACGCCATCATTTGGAATAGGATCTGAGATTTGACGAGGCGCGCTGATAGTAGGACGACCCTTCCTCTTAGGACCGCTGCGGAGCGAGATCTTACTCCTTTCTTCAGACATGGTGGGCGCTTAAGTCAAGATGGAATAGGGAGGAAACGGAGGTAGTAACGTAATTAGATAGGAATCATTCGGCGTTATAGGTATTACATATGTCATTCAATGCGGTATCTAGCGATCCATCAAGTACCAGCTTGAAATGGGGAATGAGCGACGAATGCGATGAGTTGAAGTTGTTGTTAAAGCATTCTCATAGGTAATTCATAAGTCGTAAGTAGTTGAAGTTCGAGGGGAGGTGGACGCGGCTGAGGCTGAGCACAGACATTCATTCAATTGCTTCATATGCAGATATGGCATTAATATGATACTATGCGACATATGTATGGGATTTCTCTTGGGTCCGGTCCCGACATATCTGCATACATGCATTGTACCATAGTACCTAAGGTATCTATATAGGTACATAGGTACCTCTATTGTTAATCGGCCGGATTTATTTGACCGCGGGATGCACTAACCCCTGTTCATACTTAGCGCCATACTCAATAACAAGGATCCGAGGCTGAACCGCGATTGCACGTCACGGTATCGAAGTTAGGTACGGAATACAAGGTGCATTGAAAAAAATTACGGAAGAGTTTAAGTCCTCGCTTTTAAGTCACTGCTCTCGACGACCTCTCCTGCGAAGCAACTCTACCGAGCTTCAACAATTTACGTCGCATAAATAAAGACGGGAGGAAATTAGCTAGCTCTTTGGTTTATCTTCCTATTAATCCTATTTGGGTCCTATCCTCACCCATCATCCGAGCTAATTGGTGCCGCCCCTCCTCCAGAGTCCAAACCTGTTTCTCGACCCTCAAATCGTCACATCCAACAAGATGGTCCAAACGAGTACCGCATTAACGATATCCGCCGCCACGGCCGCGACAGGTCTCCTAGGTAAATCAATTTATTATTTATTATATACTAATTTATATCTCTCCACGGCCGACTTAGTTTTAGAATCTTATTACTAGCTACTTTCTCGTTGGGCTCAAAAACTAATAATGTCCAACAGCCTATGCGATCTACTTCGACTACCAACGTCGTGCAGACCCCAACTTCCGACGAAACTTGCGACGAGAAGAACGGCGACAAGCGCGCGCGGAGAAGGAAGAGGCCGTATTGCAGACTAAGCAGAAGCGCAAAGACATTCAGAGGGCCATTGATCAAGCTACGGAAGAGGGCTTCCCCACCGGTGTCAATGAGAAGGAGCAATTCTTCATGGACCATGTCCAGAAGGGCGAACTACTCGCTGCCGACCGTAAGTCACATGCGCATCGCATATAGCCTCAGCCTACGTTATTGTATTAGGAATAGCGAAGGGGGCAGGATATTGATGCTGTGCCGAGAAAGCTCAGCGGAAGCTATTCCCAAGACAAAGTGTGCTAACCCATCGCGAACCTATAGCATCAAACACACTAGAAGCCGCACTAGCTTTCTACAAGGCTCTTAAGGTATACCCGACTCCCGGTGACTTAATCTCTATCTATGATAAGACCGTCGACAAGGTAAGGAGAGACTTCACTTCTATGAGCGCACCCCGCATCGAACCACGAATACCCTGCTAACCCTCCCGCCAGCGTGTACTAGACGTCCTAGCCGAAATGATCGCATACGACAAGAACCTCGACCTGGGCGGCGGCATCAACCTCTCCGATCTGCCCAGCGCCGGTCTGGACTAGGATTCCGTCTTTAGGCTTCAGCACCCTAGACCCCCACTCGTCTCTGTCCTCAAGCAATTATATAAAAACGGCTTGGCTTTTCTCCCTGATCCTGATGCTGAAGATGAAGTTTATTAAAATAATAATAAAACAACACCGTCCGCCTACGAGAGAGCCCTGCGCATCGGATTTAAAAAAAGACGACCCAGGTACTAACTATACACAAACACACAAACACACACATGGATACCTTGTATGATATATGATCCGGCGCGGCCGGCTAGGTGGCTGCTGGCCGTAGGCTGCCGGTTATTCCGCTTTAGAATAAGGGTGGCTACGCTGTACATTTTCATGATAATGTCTGGTGGCCGGTATAGACAAATTATGGATCATGACTCTTTCTATTATGCGATTGCTCAAGCCCCCGTGTATAAATAAGTACTACCTCAACTGTGATGATAAATATCTATCTACCCTAGGAGACTTCGATCTTCCTACCCTTGCGATCCACTCTCACATCCCGTGGGTCGAAACCACCGTTACCCCAAGTAGCCCACTCGGGCGTCTCGGGTCCCATATACTCTTCCGGTGTCCAATCGCCATCTGCGCCCCTCTCCTCGAGTAGCTCGAAGAAGCGCTGATAGTCAATCCTAGTATGCCATTTTCCATCCACCCTGAAGCGCTCGCTAGCAATAAGCACGCAGCAGCTATGCGCATGCTCAGCCGCGATGCCATACTTCAGCCCGCGCTCGCGGAGCTTCTTGTCCAGGGCCGTGACGAACTCGGTAACCTCGGCATAGAAGGGCACATTAGCCATGCTCAGACCCGCGCCGGCGCTGCTAGAAGTACCACAGTATGTAACACCCTTAATTTCGACGAAGCAGGGCAAGCCCTTCTCAACAAGATCTGCATAACCTTCGACCTCATCCTCGACGTTGAAGCCCTTGACGAGGGTCAGCCGGAACACGGTGCGCTGGCGGAAGCGTTTCTCGCGCAATATATCAAGGCAGCGCTGGAAGCGCTCCCAGAAGTCGCGATGCAGCGGCCGGTCGATTTTGCGCAGAGACTCCTTGTTGCTGGCGTCGATGGACACGTATAGCTGTGTGACGGCCTTGAGGGCTGCGAGCTGCTCCGGGTGCTGGGCATTGCAGACGAGGAATGAGGAGATGCGCTCGCCGTGCAGCAATGCTAGAAACTCGTTGATGTGCGGGTAGAAGATGGGTTCGCCAACCAGGCTCAGCGCGCAGTGCCGTATGCGCATTGCCTCGGCGAACCGCTCGGCTCTGACGCCGGGAATCCCGCGCAACATTTTAATTTTCTTGTAGTGTCCTGCTTTGACGCCGTCGAAGATCATCTCGGGCGGGTCGACAACCCACCGCCAGGTGGTTCCAACGGGATTCGTCCCGTGGCGCCAGCAGAAAACGCACTTGTTGGAGCATGATAGCGACGGCGTGGTCTCCATGCACTGATGCGACGCGATGCCATAGAACGAAAACTTATAGCAGGAGCCGCGTCCGCGTAGTGCCGACTTGGTCCATCTGCAGATCTTGACCCCTGAATGCGACCCTACGATGGAATAACCTTGCTTAGTCAAAGAGGCATACGTAGGCGAGTTCTTAGGTACCATCTCCTTGACAGTTTGGGGTGGTCTCTTCGATTTTGGTTTGTTGTACGTAGTGAAGTCCACGGCGATTGGTGTAGGGTTGTTGGATGCTTCTGGGTCGTTTCGAGAAATCTTCATGATCCTTCCGAGGTCTTCGACATCATCAATGTTTCCCGAGCGCCCCTTTTTCGGTTTCTGTGTCGCCACTGTTTGGTCGATTTCGACTTCTCCGTCGTCATCCCCAGAGCCGTATTCGTCTTCGCTTTCCACGTCATTTCCGCTACCGGGTACTCCCTCTCCCAAAGATCCCGTTCGGGCGACGTGTTTCAAGATGTCTACTACGCCATCGGTCCATTCGCTAAGTCTTTCTTTAAGGTCTCGTTTCGTATCTGCCATTCCCAAGGGGTAGGCCCTCTTACGACTCGTAAGCCTGGCCATCCATTTATCAACCTCCTTAGCTTGAAAGCAAAATCCTTCTTCTTCAGTCGGCCATCCCTCTCGATCACCTAGACCAAAGACAGAGTAGCCAAGTAGACCAGATAGCGGCGCGGTATCGATTCTGAAGTCATGGTGCGTTTCTGTTAGATGCTCAAGCAAATTGTCGTTAATGGAATCGATATTGTAGCTGGGTACCAAAAAGAGGTAGAAGTAATCTATCGGCGTGTTGCCGTCTGCTGGTTTCGGTGGACTGATGAAATATTCGTCGTAATCGACTTGGGCTAGATCTAAGACAAGAGGATCTAAGAAAGACCTCTCGGAGCCGTCAATCTTCTCTCCCAATAAGGCCCCGAGAGTCTGGGCGATTCCACTTGCAGTCCTCTCCGTACTTCCGGTCAAGGACGAGTAGAATACGAGTGTTTGTACTGGTGCTTTAGATTCTTCATTCTTGCGCGCACTATCCGTTTTTCGTAGCTCGCCTTTGATACGTCGTGGTCCGGTTGTAGGCTCTTTTGCCTTTTCTCTCGGCAAGCTAACCTTTTCTTCCGGAACTTTACTATCGCCGCCTGTGGTAGGTTTTGTGATTTGTTGATCGAATTTGAAAGTGTCGGTAGGAATCTTTGGTTTCTGTCGCAACTCTATGTATAACCAAAGTACTGTTAAAATACCTGTTGTCGCAAAGAGTATCGCGGGTCGGTGGTCATGCCATACTTCAAGAATACCTAATGAAATGTAAGCAGAAATTTATATAAATACCAGGTATGTATTCTAAATCAATATGCTCATTCTTACCCTGCACTGACCCATTGACATCTGAGCCAAACTCCCCTATTCTGCTCGTCATCTTTGGCCGCAGTTATCACAAACTTTCCCTACACAAGTTTGAAAAGTTCGCGGGGCAAACGTCGCAATTGCATTAGGTAGAATTTTGGAGGGGCCATTAGCCAAGTCGATAGCCCCGCAGTACCCCAGATTTTTGAACAAACTTGTAACTTGTACCTAAACCAACGGTATCGATAACGATTTAAATAACTACAAGGTGACCTTACGTACAACTTACAGGTATTAAACGCCATCAAAGAGACGGGACGAAATATCATACGGGATGATTAAGCGTATAATAGCAATTTTAAGCTATCTAGGTAGTTGAGAGCACACATGATCAATTCATCGACTGCAAGTAATGTATCTTACAAGAAAAAGGAAAATTCCAATGCGATTTCAATGTGATTTCCGACTTGAAGAGCTTCAGTTGTTTTTACTCGAGCACATGAAAACATAACGCCACCCCTTACTACCTTACTACCTATTTCTGGTATCTTGTTCGAGTACCTAGTTTCAGTATTTCTCATTTCGTTCATAGAATCTGTCAGACACACGTGGAGGTTTCTCTGTATTGTACTTTCGGCTCGGGCGTATTAAGCATCCGGGTCGCTCGAATGCTTGCCTTCGTCATAATCCACACCCACTAGCAAACGGTCCATCATATCTATATAAAGATCTCTGGCCCAGCAGATGGTAACCATAATTGCTAAGGCATTCCATTGATACTGATTCTCTTCCGATAGATTCAGTTGGCACGGAATATGGCAGACAGCATCCGAGTTCTCGGCGTCCATTGTGACGATGAACACAATATGCTTAAAAATAACAAAACAAAAGAGCACAGGCGCCTCTGGCCGTACTTCCCCAGGCACGAGGGCTAGTTTATCTCGCCACCACGTAGCTAGCTTCGTCATTTCGGTTTGGATAACTACGTCCATGTCTGACTTGTTTTCGTCATTCATCTCTAGTATCACAATGTTGGGCTCGAAATCACGGCGATATCTTCTGATGTTTCCGTCGGTTACGGACCATCGTAAGGCCTGCGCGAGTGTTTGCTTAATATGATTGACAAGTCTGCGCCCACATATATTCTTATCTTGTTCGTCCGTATGTGACCTTTGCGCCCTTCGGAGGTCGCGAACTCGTCCGTGAATATCCATAAGCTTGCGAAGTGCTGTAGCACCTGTAACGTATGAGTATCGATGTTCAAGTTAGTGTTACCAATACCAACGTACCTTGATATTCTAGCTTATCTGTGCGCGCGTATATTCTTGGTCGAGTACTTACAGCATGGGTCTTGACGTAGAACAAGCCTTCGGGTAGAGGAACACCTCGGAAGTGCATTCGCCAGGTCGTCGGCATTAAAGTGTATTCATCTCGCGCCTTTAAAACTTGGTTGAGGAAAACTTGTTCATAGCGCCATCTTTCTTTTGGGTCGTGGTCTTGAGTTGTCTCCTCGCCGATGGAAGATTCAGCTGAATTGTTGTGATGGGATGTGTCACTCTGCGACTCATCCGTATCTACCGTCTCTTGTACAGTATTATTCGGATGGCTCGAAGTATTTTCCGCGGTATGCACTGAGGGCTTGTTCACTTCGCTGCCTTCGCTGTCTTCTTCATAATCAAGAGCTACCTCAATGGAGTTCTGGATATCCTCATCAAGCTCGCCGTTTTCCTCGATCAACTGGCTCGCTTGTGCCCCCGGAGCGAGAACTTCAATCGTATCATCTTCGTCTTTGATATTGGCTGGTCGTTCATGTGATTTCTCTTTGTTAGAAACAGGTTTGGTAATACGGCCGCGAATAACCTTGTCTGCCTGTAAATCGCCCCGTGTTTTGCTATTATTGATAGAGCTGCTTTTGGGTGCTTTGCGTGAATACCAACTATGAGAACCAGTCATATTGATGATATGTGACAAGCTTCTGCGAAGCCGTGGCGAAATCGCCAAGAGAATATAGTGAGAGATGTTTTAATTGTGAATAGAACTAGAGTAACTGGTACGGCCATCTAGCTGGATCGGCTGGCTGAGCTCTAGACGCTGAATTTCTTACGGTGATAGAGTCAAGGACAGGGCAACACCGATAACTCATCAACGAAGATTCACGAATTATTCATGTCTTGCACATAGCGCTAATGCCGTCTCTGGCCGAGTCGATAGAACCGAATTATGATAATAATTACAATATTGAGAAGAAGGTAAGTGTGAAATGTGAGATATGAGGATATTATATGGCTGTTTGTTTCCGGAGAACTTGTGATTGGTAACATACCTCTCTTTAAACTTCTCTACCCGTTGCTTGCAGCCATTTTACGAAATATTATAGGTAGATTACGTACTAGCTAAACTTACATTCGTTTTAAATTCTCCTGTAAATATTGAATAGAAGGAAGCCGCGCCACGTTTCTATGAGTGGTTTGTAGAAGGTCGTACCTGTTGAACAGGATTTAGTTAAGATACAGGTGAAGCTTGCACAACATGTACTTAGGTACCTAGGTAGCTTCAATCCCGGCGCGCTAGTCCTGGAATAGTATGGTTTGTATTCTTATGGGGATACACTAGGTCCAATTAAAAAAGGAGGCTACCTTACCAGGCAACTATGATGTAGATATGTGCCACCTGCACTTAAAGCTCCCATGAAGCTCTGGGCACTGACAGCTGGAATTCAACTGTTCGTCCGATTTTGAATTTTTGACTGCGAGACCGCGACACACGCGCCGCCCAACTTAGAACTGCATTAAACCCAATCCCATATCCAAGAATCCAAATCACTTCGCACACCTCTTTAAGTCTTCTTATCAACATACCAACCTTTTAGAACAGCATCACTTGAATATCGTATTCATTTTCACTACACTATTATTGATGACTGGTTCCGGCCTTTTTTAACTTGCAATTTTCAACTCTCTTTGTTCGCAACCACTTTACCATCATCCTCGTCCTTCTTATCGATCCCCGACTATAGACACACCGCGCTTCCAACTCTCAAAAATCTTTTTGTTTTCTATGAAGATTTGTACCCGGGAAATGTGCATTTGTTCGTAGATCTATTTTACTACAAATATGGCTACGGATTGGAACAAGCTCAAGGTCGTTGACCTAAAGTCGGAATTGAAGCGTCTTGGCCTACCGCAAAATGGACTTAAGGCAGACCTGGTAGCACGCCTAGAAGCTGCTGATTCCGAAAGAGCCGCTTCCCAATCTTCAGATGAAACCCTCAAAGAGGTCGAGGCTGTTAATGGGGAGGTACAACCGGTGGAGATAGCCCCTGAAGCAACGGGAGCTCCAGAAGTTTCCGAGTCAAGTCCTCCTGATGAATCTCCCAAGCAGTCCGAAACCGAAGCCGAAGCCGAAGCTGTACCAGCGCAGGAAGTATCCGCACCCGCCGTTATTGAGACGCAGGTCGCTCTAGAATCATCGGTCGGCGAGACGCCGTTACAAATTACCGAACTAATACAGGATTCACAAAAGCGAAAGCGAAGATCTCTAAGCCCTGCGCCATCCGCCGACGAAGTAGCACATAAGAGAGCTAGACAAGAGAGTCGAGATATCCAGGAAGATGATCGCGTCGCAAGCTCGACCGAAGAGAAAGTTGATGCAGTGGTAGAGCCTCAAGAAGAAAAGAAGGAGAGCGTAAACCAGACTCCTCCCGATATCGAGATGGAGGGTGTCCAGGATGAAGCACCCATCGAGCGCGAACACAGCAACGGTGTCGCTCAGTCAACACCAGCAGATGATGCTAACCGCGACGTTCAAAATGGACATGCTGTAGAAGTGGTAACGAACAAGACTCAGGCAACCTTCGAAGAATCCCCTGAAGATGAGCCTCCCCGAGAACAACCCTACACCGCACACCCGGCTGAGATAGAACGAGACGTAGAACCGTCCATCCACCCCGCAACCTCTGCACTGTACATTAAGAACTTTATGAGACCTCTTCGACCGCAGGCAGTCAAGGAACACCTGTTAGACCTCGCTACGCCGATGGGTACTCCCGTCGAAGATGGTACTATTGTTGACTTTTACCTTGACACTATCCGAACACACGCGTTTGTAGTGTTTAACACGATATCATCTGCCTCAAGGGTACGTACCGCACTTCACAACCGCGTCTGGCCCGACGAAACCAACCGCAAGGCTTTGTGGGTTGACTTCATTCCGTCAGAGCGCTTCGCGGAGTGGGTTGATATGGAGCAGACATCCACCGGGGGGCGCGGTTCGACCAATCGCTACGAGGTCATGTATGACAACGATGAAGACGGTAACGTAATTGTCAAACTTGAAGAATTCGACGGCGCCGGCCCTACTACAAAACAGACACCTCTAGCACCAGAACCTCAGCCCGAGCGCAAACCTTCCATCCCCACCGGCCCCTCTCGACCATTCCCGGGCGTCGAAGGCGCGCCCACAGGCCCACGCAATTTGAATTCGACCCGTGCGCCCGCGTCGCACCCGAGCAGAGCGGGAAGACTAGAACAGCCCGGCCAATCGACGAATGCGCGCCCCAGCGTTACTTACCAGCCCGTTCCAGACGAGCTGGTCAGACGACGACTTGACACCATCGCAGCAGCCAAGACCAAGGATTTCGATCGAGACTTCGGCAAGGAGTACAAGCGCTACTACTTCGAGAACGGCGAGACGCTCGTCGACAGAGGCCCAGAGATTTTCCTTGGCATCCGCCCGCCGCACAGGGAGCGCCAACGCGAGCGCGAGCAGAGACGTGAGCCGGGACGCGAGCCGGTCCGCGAACCAGCCCGCGAACCCGGACGTGGCCGCCGAGGCGGTGGCAGACGACGTGGCGGTATGCCCATCTTCCACGGCGTCCCTCGAGGCGGCGATAGATTCCGACCCGGAGACTCCTCCGCATCCGGCCCCAACGGACGCTCGCGATACGCCGACGACAGAGGGAGCCGTCGCGATGGCCACGGCCACGGCCACGGTCGAGAGAGGCCAAGTCGGCGGGATAGCTACAGTCGTTACTAACTAACCCGCCAGAAGACGGACTCGAGGTTGAACGGCCAAGTGAGTTACGTGAGTTATTGCCGGTTTGCTAAATATGTGAGAGTGTCTGTATATTTGAAAACGAAATAATCAACCAAAAAACGTACCACCACCCATGCGTGAGAGAGCATTCGCAGAAGGTCTAAAAAAGTAAAGGTCTAAAGCATTTACGGAGTACAGAGAGAAAAGCACATACGGAAACAGCATCGTAAAGGCAGAACGGGACGGACGCATCGACGCATTTGTATAAGGAGGGAGGGAGGGAGGGAAGGATACCCAGTCCGAGAGCAAGCAAGTTAGCAAAGCCAAGCCCAGCCCAGCCCAGCCCAGTTCAGCCCTATTGGTGAATGGCATCACGAGTTACTGCAAGACAGACGGACGCCTAGCTATGTAGGTAGTATAGGCAAATACGCAAGGCGCGTGCTAATAGAGGACGTTTCATTCCGAGAACAACGAATTGAAGCCGGTGGCTTAACCTATGTATCATCACCCTCTCTTCTCCCGCTTTCGTGAAGAAGGTGCCCAACTAACCAGACAAGTACTTCGTAGCATAGCTCTAGCTAATACGCACCCCGAAGCCGGCCGGTGATACCTCCTACCCCCACATAGCGAATAGATGAAGACTCCCACAAAGGACCAGGCACGTGGAGAGAGAGTATGTATTTTGGGTAATCATACGCAGACCCCCTCTTCTCTATGGCTGTCCATCGCCCTCAGCCCCCCCTTCTCTATCTCATAATCCACGCCCAACCTCCACCCTAGTTGTACGCCAACGACCTCAGCAGCCCATAACAATGTGTCTTCGATTGTCACCACATCTGTAGGCCGCACGAATATGCCCTTGAAATTCTCGTTGGGAAAGATGTCCTTTTTTTGGTTCCGGCTTTGGAAAAGGTAAAATTCTTCCCAACGGAAATGCTTGTGGTGAGAGTCATGATGCGGCCTATATGATAAAAAGGGTTAAATTGGTGTGGAATGAAATATGGATGCGGCGGCATCGTGGAAGTAGAAGGAGATGTAGTTAGGTGAGGTAGGTAAGTTCCTAAGGTGAAAAGGAAGGGGATGGATAACGTACAAAGCAACATTCCAAAAATACGCACGACTCAGTCTCTCATCCCCGCTCCCGCCATCGCCCCATACCGCTCCTGCGTACTTTGGCTGTTGGAAGCGATACTCATATGCCGATCTGGGGTCCAGGTCTAAATACAGACACACGTCGAGACGGTCTTGTATGGATTGCAAGTCCCGCAGTGAGGTTATCGCGGTTCCCGCGGGTGACCAGCCGACCTTATTGTACCCTTGGCGAGCGAGCAGCAAAGACCCTTCGACGATTGTGAACTGTCTAGATACGGTGGGTTTCTCTCCTGGCTTTCCCAACTGTATGTGCGAATACATGAAGGAGCACTCTGGCCTAATAATGACCTTGGTCATCAGCTCGTGTCTCAGGATTTCGGCCGCTTTCTGTATAGTCTTCTCCGAGATCTGCTGGAAAGCTCGGCCTAGGACGGAAGCTTGGTCCTCGACGTCCAAAACCTTGTATAACCCCGTGGTGTCGTAGCTGGGGTCTGGATCGTGGGCCATGCGGGCGAACAATTTCGTATAGTAGCATTTAGCGTTGCAACGATTGATGACCTTGTAAGTTGGGGGATCCCAGGAGCCATGGTTTATCGTCAACCCCCAGTCCTCGGGCTCCGGCTGTAGGGAGGTATATGTCACTGTTCTGGTTTCAAGCAGCTCTTTTTCAGGGATCTGGAAATAATCCTGGTGAATTACGGCGTGGCAAGGTCGAAGGCCCCTGTCAGTTCTATCCTAGCAAGCTGTAGGGGATTCTAAGGGTATTGCCGTGAGGGCTTCCTGGATGACGGCGTCTAAGAGCATTGCCAGAGTAGACTTGCCGGACGAGACGTTTCCAGAGATGCCGATGACGAAATTTCTCGAGATGCGCTGCTCGGTGTCCATATTTTGCTTGGTGTCCATATTTTGCTCGATGTCCATATTTTGCTCAATAGTAGAACTGGGAATGGGACTCTTCCGGATCCTGACCGGGCGATGGGGTTAGCATTGCCTATTACGGCGTCAAAGAATATCTAACAATGTGTCTATGGATCGGTTATAATACCTTAAGATAGACGATAGAATGCTAGTGGCCTTTCACGTAAGAGTAACAAATGCGTTCTATCATACACCCAGGTAAACTAACTATAAGCTGTTTTCCTCGACAGTGAAGAGTATAAATATATGCCGGCTATTGTTAGTTGTAATATACCAAGTATTCGGTGGAAAGCGCCGACAGCTTTATATACTTACATGCTCCCTCCTCAGGTCACTCAGCAGACGGAAGGAGCACTGCTATATACGAGACAGAAAGAAAGAGAGACGGGACCTAGTGTAACTATATCGTACATTACTTAGGTAGGTACATATGTAGGTAGGTATGTATGTAGGTCCTTCCTTCATGTACTTATAGGAACATTGACGTAATAAAAAATAATGAAAAGGGGCTAAACTCTTACAAGTACCATCAGACTTTATATCTAGGTACCTAGATACGTTTTAGACTATATCTCATTTTATTCCATTCTATACGCTCACTCGTGACAAGGGGACATACGAGTTAATAAAGTACAATGCAATTCGCTATTTGATTTTATTTTATTCTTAGTTTGATGGACATTAACTCCCTTATGACACAATCCTGTCCCAACCAGTCCCTAATAAATCAAAAAAATACCCATGCATACCCCCACCAAAAAAGGGCTCTCTAAGCAGCGCTAGCCAGAGGCTCTGGTTGAACACCGACACGTTCCTTGCTTAGGATGTCAAGCATGAACTGGGACGGCCTGTTATCCTTGTAAACAGCCTGGCACGCCTTGAAGGCCATCACATCCTCAATGTACTTATCAAAGAGGTAAGAGCTATCCATAGGGCCGCCCCTAGCCTCGGGATGGAACTGGGTTGAGAAGATTGGTCGAGAGATGTGGCGCATGCCTATAATATCTTATTAGTGATTTGCAGACAACTTAAACCCGATAACAAAAACAACGTACCTTCATTACTGCCGTCGTTAAGGTTAACGAAATACTCCTTCCATTCACTACCCAGAGTGCTCGCATCGACAGCGTACCCGTGGTTTTGGCTGGTGATGTGGCACTGCCCGGTTGTCATATCCAGAGCCGGGATGTTGTGTGCCCGGTTACCATACTTCAACTTGATGGTTCGAGCTCCGGTAGCCAGGGCTAATAGCTGATGGCCCAAGCAGATACCCATAATGGGCACCTGGGAGGTTTCCATCAGCACATTGAGGTTGTGTACGGTAGATTGGCAATGGGTCGGATCACCAGGGCCGTTGGAAATGAATACACCGTCAAAGTTGTCGGCAACCTTCTGAATCTTGAAATCGTATGGGAACACCGTTACGCTAGCCCCACGGCTCACCAAGCTCCGGAGGATATTCTCCTTTACGCCACAGTCAAGTAACGCGATATGATACTTGGGGTTGTGGGCCTCCACAACAAAGGGGGCCTTGGTGCTGACCCGCTTCACAAGGTTAATCTGGCCGGGATCAACGAAACTTTCGTCTTCGTCTGCATCGTATTCATCACCAACAGAGATCCTGGCGAGGGAAGAACCTTGCTCTCGTAGGTGAGTGACGATGGCACGAGTATCGACACCCGAGATGGCCGGAATACCCTCTCGGGCACACCAGTCACCCAAACTCTCCACTGCAGTCCAATGGCTGTATTTCTCGGCGACATCGGCGACAACAATTCCTGCGCACTGAATATGAGGAGACTCGAAGTGCCTCAGCAGGTTCCACTGGTCGCGTTCGTTAGAAGGAACGCCGTAGTTTCCAATCAATGGCTGAGTGAAGACGAGAATTTGGCCTCGGTACGAGGGATCGGTCATCGACTCCGGGTAACCGACAAGAGAAGTCGTAAAGACGGCCTCGCCAGAGATATTAGAATTAGCTCCAAAAGCCGTTCCGTGAAAAATAGGCCCATCCTTTTTCTCAGTCAGCATAGTGGTCGTTAAGGTCTATCGTAGTTGTAACGTACTCGGAGGGTGAGTGTAGCCTCCATGCCAGAGGCAGGTTTCGTAGCCCGGGATAAAGTCTGGGGCATCTGCCTACCCTTGCTACCTTGGATGGCCTGGGCCGCAAAGTTGCCGGTGGTGGAGAGGAATCGGGCCCGTGCCGAGAGGCCAGCAGCACCGAATGCTGCAGGCTTCGCAGCCTTCAGGGCTAGTCGTGAGAACATAATGTTCCGAAGTAGTAAATTAAAGGTTCGAGCTAAAGAGATTATTCAATGGCCTCCTTTAAGCGGAGAGAGCCCGCCACAAGTGGTCTAGATATATGTTAGTCTCGAAAGCGGTGAGTCAGATTCATGAAGTGAAACGGACCAGAGATATAATCCTGTGGCAATATGGTTAGCAATGTCAATGTCTAGAGCGATAACAGGAGAGATAAATAGCATAAAAGCGAAGGTATAAACCGAGTAGCGTGGCGAGAGTGGATATGTTTTCATGAGGTCATCTTTCATTGCACGTACCTGGGATGTGAAGACTGACGAGCGCCCGTTCATAAGGGCAACGTGGATAGTTCCAACCAGAAGAGGCAGGAGAATGAGAGGAATACTCAATTGGAGGAGGGAGGTTTAGAGGTTCTAAAGAATACCGATAGTAATAAGGCGGATTGGGGGAGTACCGTCAGTTTTTAAAGAGGACCGGGGAAAAGAAGCAGAAAAAAAAAAGGGTGTTTTCATAGCGGGGGACTAAGAATTCAAGGTTGTGCGATCTGACTGGTTTCCGAAAATCCCAAGCTAACCATGCAGTAAAGCCCCATATCTTTTATTCGATAGTCCAATTAAACGTGTTGTATTTCTGTGTTACACACTGTAATACCGTTACCTTATCTCTACCTAGTGTAGGTACATATGTAGGCTTGTCATGGTCCACCAGACGGAAGAGTGAAAAAATTTACTACAGGCCGTTTTCGGCCTATCAACGGCCTCAACGCTCTGACGTAGACCGGATATTGTCTATCTACAGCAAAGAAAGGCCAAAATAGCGTTTTTACTAACTACAAATAGTGTGTATGTATGCGGTTAAATTACACAATTAAATCACGATAATTCTTTTACTTTTATTATGAGATATTTGTAATTTCTACCATAGGTAGGTACCTATCCAAAATTTGGTGGCAACCTGGACTTTGCCGTGGTATACTAACTCTCCGATATTTCAGTAGTACATATTACCTAGTCAGGTCCAATGCATTAGTAGGTCCCTAACCTCTACCTCCTCTCCCTTAAGCCACGCACATCGATAAATTAAATATCGTGCACAAATACCAATCCCTTGCAATTGGCTCTTGTTGCTGTGAAAAACCCCAACGCTTTCGTCATATGAGTGCGGAAGGACATTGCTTGCTCTACTAGTGCTCTGGCCAATAAGTTAGCTCAACACTTATAAACGCCATTTGTGGAACTGTAATAAATAGTATTCTCCTCCCTGTCGCACCGAGAATCGGATTAGAAACGACTCCCCGAGAGACTATGGCCATATATAGTATCGAACGAAAGGGGAGTTGATGTGCTTGGATATTCGTAAACTGAGCTAATACGATTCTGGGTACTTGGTACTTGTCTTGATTAATCATATCTTCGTTTGCCATAACGAACCTCGCGGTTTTATAAATTCCATAAATAACCAATGAGTCCTTGGTAATATAAAGACTATCTAGAGACTATCTAGACGTGAAAACTGTTGAAGTCTAGGTTTCCCCGTAGCCCCTTTATTGTCGGCCGTGAAACCCGTACGGCTAGCTTCATTCGTCGTAGAAATATAATATCCCATATCTACGTCTAAGCTTCACCGTGGCCCATATGAAAATTGGTTAGTTTTAACGCCATGTTCTCTTCTCATCCGTTATATCGCTCCCAGCTCCCTCAACTTCGAAATCAACCCATCCACATCCTCAACCTTGCCACCTCCTTCTCTCGGCGGTGGTTCTGCAATAAGAAGGTTAGTATAGACTATGAGAGAAACGAGATAGTACAACGTAAAAATCGTACCCGTGACTTTAACAATCTTAAGCCGTCTCTCATTCGCAATGCCTAAATCGCTCAAGCTCATCTTAACAAGCGGCTTCTTCTTCGCCTTCATAATATTCGGCAAGCTCGCATAGCGGGGCTCATTAAGGCGCAAATCCGTCGTGATAACCATCGGTAATTTCGCGCGCACCGTCTCTGCGCCGCCGTCTACCTCCTTCGTGACCTCGACCGTATCGCCGGCGCCAAACGTGACCTTGCTAGCCTGCGTAGCCTGGGGCCAGCCCAGCAGTCCCGCCAGCATCTGTCCCGTTTGCGCTGCGTCGTCATCGATACTCTGCTTACCGAGGATGACCAGGTTGCTCTTCTCCTTATCGACAACGGCCTTGAGCAGCTTAGCCACGCTAAGCGGCTCTAGGTCCTCGCCCTCCTTGACGTCTACGTGGATACCACGGTCCGCGCCCATCGCCATTGCCGTCCGCAGCACGTCCGCGGCCTTCGGGGGGCCCGCCGAGATCACGCAGATGTCTTCGACGCCGCCCGGCGCCGATTTCTTCTCGCGGATTCGCACCGACTCCTCGACCGAAAGCTCGTCGAACGGGTTCATCGAGTGTTTGACACCGGCCGTTTCGACACCCGTCTGCGCCTTGTTGACGCGAGGTTTGACCTGCGAATAGGGAACACGACCATTAGCTTACCCCCCTCGTTCCATTTTTGTTTGCCCTTAGGTGTAGAAATTGTAGGAGTTAATTGATTCTTACCGCATAGTCAATTACCCGTTTTACGGGCACGAGAATGCGTAATGCTGACATGGCAAATTCGCAACTTTGCTGGCTGTCTATAAAAAAAGCGAAAGGAGAGTGAAAGTCTAAGTAACTGAGCTGGACCTTCCAATGTCTCTTGTCGGATTCAATGCTTCGGCTAACCTTAATCGAAGCTCCGTTCAATGACGCAGGAAAATCCGCGACCGAGACCGGCGATAGCCGCGCTTCTACTGTTAAAAACCTCGGCCAAATATGCCCCACATGATGAATATCTTCTCGTGCGTATAACTTGATAATAACAAACTTGGAACTTACCTACCTATATACTACCGTGGCTTGAATATATAGGTAGGTAGAGTACTTCAGCATAGCATATCACGGCGAAATAATAAATAATTGTTTAATGTAGTACGCTTAGTTGTACTTTGGTAATTGGGTAACTACCTTACTACTCAGAGACCGCTGCATAAAAAGAATATTTGCACCCTTTACATTGGTTCTAATACATAGATGAATATACGCTACCCAAGAACTCCATTTAGCTTACCAGGTAATTATACAGCATGGTATCGTGTCCGTCGTCTATAGGTATAATCGCACATCCCGATACCCGCACAGTCTCTTCATTTAGACCTGAGTATAATAAACTGACAATCCTCGCTCGGCCACTACCAGTCGTCCCATTCGTCGTCCTTCTTGGCCGCTGCCGGCGCGTTCTTGTTTCCTCCTCTTCCCATAGCTGAAGTTCCGACCGAGCTATACTTAGGCCCGGTGCCATGCCGTTGATCCGCGACGGCGGCAAAGTCGTCCCAGAATGCCTTCTTACTCTCGTCTATCGGGGCTTGCCTTCGCTCGTCAGTTCCCTCGACGAAGCGGTTAAACCGTTCCTGCGCCGTCATTGCGCCAGCCTGTGCCGCCTTACCTACGCTCCCTGCTGCAACCCTCGCCTGTGCTGCGAAGTCCGATGCTGAGAGCTGTTTGTAAGAGTCAGCAATTGTATTCGCTCCGTTATGCGGTTAAGCATGCGAGCTCTTGTGCTTACCTGCTTAGCTGTAGGCTGAATGAAATCGTCGTTGATTCCTTTAGCTGTCTTGGTTACAGTCGTTGTGAACCAGCCGAACCCTTTTGTTAGGGCAGCTACTGGGTCCTTCTGCACCTCTGATAGATCTGGGAGTCCTCCGGTACCACTCTTTGCGGGCGTAGGAGTATTTCCAAACCCGGCGTATTTGCCTCCTTGGCTAGGCGGTAATTCCGCCGACCTAGACGCGTTCTCTTTTCCTAGACGCGCGAAATATTCATCATCGACTTTAGCTTTGACGCCTGGTCGGCTGGGGCTTGCTGTTCGACTTCCACTCGTTGCCACGCCTTGAAGAGGCGTTCCAGTCCTACTGATTTGTTTTGGACCTGGCGGCTTTGCGGCGGCGGCAGCAGCAGGCTGCGGTGTGGTCTTTCGTTCACCGGGCACGTATTCCCTACCCTCAACCTTGGCGCTAAGCCTTTCCTTCCATTCCTCACCTACTTCGCCGCTATATCGCTCCGCGATGGTGGCATCGTCCCAATTTAGACCACGCATCTTAGTATCGTCGTGCTGCTCGAAGAATGATCTCCATCCCTGGTTACCACCGAGCCGCATGCGCTCAATCTCGGCCTGCTTAAACGCGTCCATAGTAACAGAACGAACGAACGAGATGTGGACGCCAAGGCCCCGGTGAACGCCGGCGCAGGAGAGGCAGATGAAAACGCCAAATTTAGGAGACGCCCATTGCGGGTTCGGGGCGTTGCAATCGCAGCAGTTGTTGTTATTGTTCGTCTTTTGTATAGCTAAGAGCTAGAGATAAGCTGACGGTTAGCAAGCGTTTAATATTATGACAGATAACTATGTTCATTACGATGCCGTTAATTCATTCCAAGCCCCAACTAGATAGCAATACATACCTTTGATCTGGTCTCCGGGTCGACTTCCCACATAGCTTTAGAGGCCATGGTGGACTACTGATTGTTGCGCCGAAGCGACAGCAGGGAGTAATTCAAATCTCTGACCAGTAATTGCCTACTTGATAGTAAGAGAGAGCCGTGCACGAAGCGACAACAGCATTAAATCAATTTTTGAAGGCGTTTGCGTATGCGAGGATAGATTTATTAAACATTTATGAATGAAGTACAGTATGTAGTACGTAGTACGTGGTGTTTTAATTTAACTCGTGCGCAATCGCCAACATCGATAAAATAGGGATATTTGATGAAATAGGAATATCGGGGGCCAAGACAGGTACCCCGATTCCCCACACCGTGTTTTAGTGTTCTCATCCCCTACCATCCCCTACCATACATAGGCCTAGAAAGGAGCAAAACAAAAATCTAGATTTCCTTTCTGGTATCACTACATAAGATCAGTAGCGTTAGTCCAACCACATTCCAAACGGTTCCATTCACGTCATATTATCCATTATCCAGTGCCGAGGACCCAGATATTTAAACGGATTTGCGATTTACGATGGACCAGCCATCGATCCAGCCATCGATACATGCTGGAAACCCATTTGCTATCTTTATGTCCGTCACTACGGGTCACTATGGAGTCTCCGATTCAAGTCACAACAAAATGACAATAAAAATCATAAATCACGCATATCACTAATGATAGATCATAATGCATCAATCCATTATCAATCATATCTATTCTGTACTCGCGAGAACTTTTCCGAGTCCACCGTGACCCCCCTGCTCCGTTGTCCACCTAGTGTACAACCCGTGAAAATGCTCGAGAGGTGGTTGTCAAAGTCATTCGTAAAAATTAAGATGTATCAAAACTGCAGCATCATGACACAGACCTTCGCCAGAAATGCGAATACAGAATGCTGTAGTCGCTGCTGACGATATCTGAGGTCATATTGCTGCTGTCCTGTGGGGTTTCGTATCTATGGTGAAATCAAGAAACTTGCCATCCCTCATAAAACTTGACTGACGCGCAACTACTGTATAATGCATCCGTAAATAAGACATAGTTGCCTGGATTCATCTTCCGTTGGGAATTAAACATGCGCCGTCGGAAAAATGCTTAGATAATCTAAGCAGTAGCAGCTGGAGCCGCCTCTTGACCATGGGCCTCGTTCTCCTGAGGAATGTTCGCCTCCTCGTCCGTCTTGTCGGGGCTGTCAATAGCGACCTTGACGGCAATCTCCCGACCTTCGATCTCCTTGCCATTCATCTCGGCGACAGCCTTCTGCTGAAGCTCCTCAGAAGCTAGGGTGACGAAGCCGAAACCACGACCCTTGCGGGGCTCGCCGCGAGCCTGGAGCTTCTTGATCATAAATCGGGGGATAGGACGAAGGGCGATTTTGGCAGAGGAAGGCTGGTAATCATTGAAGAGTTCCTTAAGCTGTTGAAAAGTTAGCAAGTACAGAGTTAATTATCAGCAAAAGGACGACTTGCCTTCTCCTCGGTTAGGTCATAGGGTAGGTTAGCGACCATAACCTTGTTCTTGGAGGGGATGCCGTCAGCAGGCGGTCCGCGCTCACGACGCTCACGAGCAGGGCCCTTCTTTGCGGACTTGTCTTTGTCAGCATCTGCCTTGTTGGTGATGTCGGTCAAAGGCAGAACCTCGTTATCGGCGACGGTAGTAGCATTCGCGCCAGCCTCAGTAGGGGCATCATCCTTTCCTCCCTCCTAAATAATATCAGCAGCCGCTAAAATGCAGATCAAGGCAAAGGACTTACAGTTCGGCCGCCACGACCAGCGCGACCAGCACGACCACGGCCTCGGCCTCGGCCACGACCAGAAGATCGGCGCCGAGAGCCTTCGGCACCAGTCTCGCCGTTGGTAGCACCATCGGTCTTCTCGCCAGCCGGCTGGGGAGTGCGTGCAAGTTGAACAGAGACCTTGCGCTCGAGAATCTCCTTACCGGAGAGCTCAGCAATGGCACGATCGGCCTCGGTAGGGGTAGAGAGATCCACGAAGGCATAGCCAACGGGGCGGTCGGTACGAGGATTCTTCGGAATCGAGACGGATTCACTAAGTATCCAAAATTAGCCCAAATTCCAACGAGCTTGCTTAATAATAGCCGGAGATTATCGAAGTAAATATTTATGGCAATCCCCCCATTTGTGATAATACAACGGTAAACATTTGTTTGTTGCCAAGTCCCTATAAACGAATAGGCATAGGCAGCAGGAGCTGAATGTATGTGTAGACCCTTATGTAGGTAGCACAAGGGAATCCATCCAAAGGAACAATGGGTCAACAGGCACATATTTCATCACGAACTATAGAAACGATTCCATATGCAGTAGGGATATAATGAGGATATAGACTTACACAAGGTAACCCTTGAAGAATTCTTTCAACTCCCCCTCAGTTGTCGCATATGCGAGGTTGCCGATGTACAATCGGCGGCCCTCGGCGGCACTAGCATGGACAGCATCCTTGTTCTCGTCCTTGCCAGCGAGAGAGGTATTGCTCAGAGCATTGGTAACGTCGTTGACGGCAGCGTCAGCAACTTTCTCCGCAGGGGTGGCCATTGTGACTGATGGTTTCTGGTTGGGAGATTAGTTGAAGGTAGGTTGATTATCTTGACAGGAGGCAATGGTAGACGTTGAATGGACGTTCGGGTTCGGGTTCAGTATTGAACTCTTGAACAATTTCGGGGGAGGAATAGGGTGGCTACGTGCCCTAGAGAAGATTGAAAGAGTTGGGAATCGGTGAGTTGTGACACAACGAGCTTGAGATTGATGGAATTGAGAGGTGTGAAGAAGAAATGGGAGAGACCAGATGTTCGGACGCGGCCAGAATTTTTTAAGGGTTGTTGTTTCTTGTGTGGGTCACGCCAAAGTTAAATCCACGGTAGGCGTGGGGTAAGTGAATATGGCTGCGCTTGACAGGAATCTACGAGCCAATTGTTGGAAAGGGGGACGCATGGGCTTGCACAGACCAGAGTACCTAAGTACCCAGGTACGTACTTACCTACATGTCCTGTTGTTATCTTAAGTACCTCTTATATTTTATACTAAGTAATGTTATTTCAGTAATAATGGTATTTTAGTAATATTTAATTTTAGCCCTACCTTTTTTCACCGCTTACTTAAAAAGGTTAACCGCCTTTTTAGCATTTTCACCTTTCCCGATTAATTTACCTATATTAAAATAAAAATACCTTCACTTTTAAATTATACTTATTTAACTCCGTTATTTTTCATTAAAATAAGTTATTTAAATTACTTTAAATTATTAAAAAAATAAGCTTTTTTATATATAAATTTATTAATTAAACCTCTTTAAACTAAAATACATATATAATTATTAACGTATTAACTATTTTAACCTTTTAAAACTTTTTAATTTTTATTTATTAATTAAATTAATTACGTTAATATTATTAACACTTTCCTTATTTTCCAAAATATCCTTAATATTGGGGAAATAATTAATAAAAGGATTTTATTTTTAAAGTTTTTAAGTTTTAATAATAGTTTATTGCTACTTCCGCATACGTCTTATAGCATTGTAAGTAAATTTAATAGTATTTCCTTTTCCACGGGGATTCTTTCCTCCACAAACATTCCTTTCTTCACGAGTATTTCTTTTAACATTACGCCTTTTACGGGCACCTCCTTTACTACGGGTACCTCTTTTATCACAAGTGCTTCCTTTACTATAAATGCCTCTTCTACCCGTAATATTACTACTAAAGCTTTGGCTAAAGCCTTAATTAAAGCCTTAATTAAAGCCTTGGCTTTATATTAACGTGCCGTGTAAATTACCTGCTAAAGTACAAGCCTTTTTAACCGGTGGTTAATTAATATTGTAAGTTTTATCTTTATCATCCATTTATTCCCATTATAATAATACCCGTTTAATGGAATTTTTAAAAGGTTAAAAGCTTTATTAACGCTTATCTATCGTAAATAACGTTTTAAATGTAACGGGCCTATTAAACGGTTTACCATAAAGGTTAAAAATAATTAACGGTTTTTAAATTAAAAAATCCGGTTTATTTTTAATTAAATTACGCTTTAAATGCTATTATAGGTAAAGATCACTTTTTTAAAGTAGCTTGATATTTAACTTTTCTTCGGTTAATTCGATATTTTTATAAATTTTACACTAATATGGTAATCTGTGTTAGTTTCTTAATTCGTGTAAGCATTATAGCTTACGGGGAGGGAAAAAACGTATTTTAATGGGTAAATATTTAAAGGCTTTACGGTAAACATTATTTAACTTTTTAATTACCGTTATCGAATAGGTTATAAGTACGTTTTTTAGCTATTTTTAACCTATTTAATCGATACGTTATTTAAAGTTATTATAAACAATTATTTACATATAAATTATTTTTATATTAGTTATTATAGTTTCGATAGTTTAATTAATTAATAATAAATTAAAACGGCTATTAAAAATAAAATTTTTTAACAATTTATTATTAAATTTGGTTGAAAATGTTATTTTTATATTAAAGTTAAAATATTCTTTTATGTAACAATTTACTTATTTAATGTGATATAATAAATAATATTTTTTAAAATATTTTATAACCATTAATTGCTCTTTATTAAATTTATTAATTAATCAACGCTAAACATCTTTAAAATTAGTTTTATTTTGCAAGTATACCATATATTTCTAACATAATAACATACCTTTACGGATGTAAAAAATTTCTTTAAATAGTTTACCGGAATTAGAAATATCGTTAAATTTATTAAAACGGTTAAGGTTTTTAAAAAAAGTAATATTTTAAAAAATAAGGCTGTCGATTACAGTAGTAAATACCTCCTTTATTGCCTTAACTTTTACCTTAACGTTTATATTAAGAATCTTGTTTATTATTATCTACTTGCGAGTAAGTTACAATATAACGTTTTTATTTACGTAAAAAATATAAAATAAAAATTGTGTAAAGATATATATTACCTTAACTACATTCCTTTATTATTTATTATAATCGGAAATTATTATATTTAATAATTACGTTTCGATTATAATTTTTAACTCATCCAACGCCTGAAATAGTTAATTAAACCATTCTTTAATTTTATACGGCATTAAACTAAACGCTATATTAAAGATAAAACTAGTAAAGGAACAGTTAATAACGTTAAATAAAGGTATATAATATTAATTCGTTTTATACATATTATTATAACTAAATACATACGGGTAACATTTCCACATTTTCTTATAATATAAATACGTCTAAATTATTATTTCTAATCTATTAAGGTTATTAGCAGCCCATTTCACAACGTACTTAAATCCCTTTTTACATAAATGACGTAAGAATACTTACGTACTCGTAAATCCTTACCGTTCACGTTTACAAAACTTTACGCAAGCATTATTAATATCTTTTAATTAAATAAAAAAGCCGGGATACTTCTCTCGTAACGCCAAAATAATTTACGCCAATACCGTAAATACTAAATGCAAAAAAAACTTAATATCTTATCTAATATTACTATCTTTTATTACTCGATAACAGGCGTAAACTAATAAATTAATTATTAACCTATAATTATAAATAAAAACCTTACCGCTATTACGATCTTTAACAAATCGAAACGTCCATTTACGATCGTTCATCTTTAGCGCGTTAATGTTTTTTTTTTAAAAATAATCGATCTTTTGCGAAAAAGTTTGGCGATTTTTTACTTCCGAAGGTTTAATGCGAAAGCTACGGTTATAATATACCTTATATCGCGTAGATTTTTCAACAATTCGATTAGACCTAAATGCCTTAACAATGCCGAAACCGTTCTCGCGGAAGAATTGCAATAAATACTCGTGGATGGCGTTGCATATTACGGCAGAAAAACCGCCGGCGGGACCACCTTTTAAAAGATCTAATATCGCCATATTTACCGCGCGGTTATTGTTAAAAAAAAAGGAATTTACAAACTGCGTAAATATAATATAAAAAAGCTTATTACTTAATTTAAAAAAAGGCTTTTTACTAAAAAATAAAACCTTGTAAAATGCAATATAATATATATTACCTAATTAATTGTATGGTAGAAATTATAAGCGTTAATTTTTCTGCCGGTTTTTTAGAAAGGTGGGGCTAAAATTGAATACTATTAAAATACCATTACTATTGAAATAACATTACTCTTTATACTAATGGAAGCCTTATTGTATATTTTAACTCCGAGTGCCTGCATCATCAGTGACTACCTAACGTAGGTAATCTTTTAATTGAAAGAGAACCCTAGCTTGCACTGAGGCAAATGGCATCCAACCCAAGTATCTAGCATGTACGTAAAACAAGTGACTTGGTCAACAATCTTACAATGATATGGTGAGAAGCTAGCAGATTAATGGAATGACAAGAAAGTGAATAAATATAGCATTGGCAAGTGACACACGGCTAGAGAATGTAAGGGAAGGCAAGAAAAGGCTATTAAGTTTGCAGGTATGTAGATGCAAGTTTGAAAGAAATGTTCCATATGTACTAACTATATGAATGGGCTTGCCTCTTTCAGGAAGTCCCAGTCACTGTTGCCTTTGGGGTTTTTTCTTTTCTTCATGTAAACCTGAGGGTTACGATAGAAGAGGGAAAAACGCACTCTGGATAAAGTACCTAAACAGAGCTACACATCACTCAAATATGTAAGCGCAAATGAAATAGTTATCGATTTCCTAAAACATCTAACTACATACGTGATCATTCAATCGTACTAACACCGAAATCTCCCAAGTCGGTGACACCGGAGGGTGCCTGTCGATGGTACCACCTTCGCGCTTCGAGAGGATTAAGGTACGACTGTCATAGGTAAGCTTGAGTTTTCCGAGAAGTTGGGATGGAAAGACATGGATGATGGTTCGTTAGGTTGCATTAATCAGTAAGGTAAGAGGTAAGGTACCGAAAGTATGTAATTCCTACGCACGTTCCGATTTACTACGCTTCGAAGCAGAAAGAATGCCGGGTGTAGATGTCTAAGTCGATGTCTAAGTTCGGCAATAGGTATGCTTGAATCGTTGAAATTGGATTTATCAAAAACTCGGGGGCGCATTGAAAACAGCAAATTACGCCATTTCCATGCCTCCTTGGTGCATCTTTGTTCTACTAAAATCGGGTAGGTAACTCGCAACCAGAGACAATATGACATGTTATTAAAAGGAACCACGTTCTCTTTGTTCGGAACATTTCTTTCCACATGCGAACTTGGGTACGATTAAGTCAAATCACGAGTCAAATCACGAGTCAGCCAATCTTCTGGAAGCTCTGAAAGAACCTGGTTTCTGGGGTTTTGACGATCGAACCACTCAATGTGGACAATGCGAACCCAACAAGGGTTACCGTAGATACACCCCTCTTTTTCTTGCTTGATAGACACCTCTCTTCACCTACAAATCGAAAAGAAAAAACAACCCCCCTTTTGCCCCTTTACGGTCGCTTCAAGAAACGTATCTTAATACCTATATTAATACCTATATAATCATAAACCGGGCTATAATTCCCAATATGATGAAAAAGCTCCATGGTTTTACACCTGTACGTTTTCTAGAAAATAAGACTTCCAGATTTAAACTTGATGTTTTTTCTCTTTTCTATAGCAAATAGGTCGGTAAAGTCTTATGTCGGTGTATGATGTATGACTCTTCCAGTCAACTGACGATTTTAGGTGAGGTGCACTACGCAATTGGCAAACAAATTTAATCCACATGGCTTTTGCCGGTATCTTCGGCTGGGTTAGGTACCTAACCTAGCTTACTAGCTGTTGCGTGCATGAAAGTACGGCCAAATCGGTAGCCCTAACCAAAATGCCGGCTCCCAGAATGCAAGAGTGCGAGAATGCAGATAACCAAAAGGTCATATCAACGTTACTTTGCAGCTCCTTGCCGTCATGTTCCTGAAGCGCGATCGAGTCATATTTGTCTTTTAGTCTTTTATTCGGCGATTTACTTATTAATATAAATCTATGTGATGTATCAATATTGGGATTCCTTGACACCTGCATTCCTACCGCATCAGTCGCACGTGACGAACGGAATGTTTAGAGGGATTGCGTAGCAGCCATTTACATACAACACTAGAACTTGGCACAAACACCGCTAATCCCTTTTAGCGCCCTATCCCAAGGTTGAAGCCCTACTAATACATCATATTATGTAAATTACGGGGTAGCTACCTATGCCCTATGAGATGATTTAGTATTCCCCTCTGTTCCTAAAGAGAGATTTTCCATCCAATTAAAAGCATGCACGTCACGTAAGAAGAGAACTCAACTTCTACGTTTTCGTCAGTCTGGATTCAGGTGCGCGAAAGCTTACAAACTTGCTGACTAATGACATTTTCAAATAGCTATGTTAACTATGGCTTTCAGTGTTATAGAGTTGAACTTTAAGTCTTGGGTATTCGTAAACGCAACCTTACAGAGCTTCTTTAAGACGAAACGCAATTATTAGTCAATTATTATAATTGTCCCCGTACCCCTGAAGCGCCGGTCCTTAGGGAAATCCGTCCAATCTACACTATTGTCTTATAACTAGGTAACTAGATATAAATTTAAACATCCAAATAGCTGAGAGGAGGTCCTTGTAGAGAAAAGAGTTCCTATAAGATCATAGTCTAGCTCCGAGAGAATTTTCCATTCACCCATAGTATCCATAAGTTCAATAAGTAACTATATAAAACTAAATTGCAAGTATGTAAGACAGTGAGGAAAAAGAAACGCTGTCGAACCGTTTCTAACTTACAACTCGGATCTTCAAAACAGATATCACTAGCAAAATAGTTGTAGATATTCACCTGAGTTGAAATATACTCAACTGAAGAGTCGGACGATCACAACAGAGTAAGTTACCATTTTAAGCTTATTGCAGGTTTTATCAAGTCTTTTATATTTCCAAATACGGAATCCCGTCCCAAAATGGGGGCCAAATAACCGATTCATACGATAGGCAAAACTCTAGCTTGGTCTCCTTGGCCGAGTTACTCTTTTCATAGGTATATCTATATTAGATCTGTTGATACGTAATTTTAAAAGGAATATCATAGTAGATAATATTAGCAGCCGGGTGGCTGTCTCGGGAGCTTAAAAAACGCCATGCAGCCATGCAAGGCGGCCCGAAAACCTATTCTAACTCCCATGCCGTGTTCCAGGGGTATTATGTCGTACAATAGGGCCCCTAGTGTTCTACTACTTTGTGTTACTGAGCATACCTAAGACAATAAACACTCTCGGAAAAGCATGTCTTGGTGGCAGCTCTCGGGATAATACTATCCACTTAGATAAAAAAACCACAACCTCATACATATACCTACCTAGGTACTTATCTGTATTCCAAGTTTCAATCAGAGGAATCATACGACCATATCTTTATCTAATAATTTCAAGTACTACCTAACTGGGTAGTCACCTACTCATTTCGGAAGCGGTGTCGTCTTTCTCGTGATATAATAAACCTAATTCTAACCCGAAGGCACGCACACCGCTCGTAGTAAAGTACTGTATTCAGGAACTTCGTTGTTAGTATCCATGGAGCAAGGAAAATTGGACCATGCCGAAACTCGTTGGCGAAAAGTACAAAGCCATTCAAGCTGTCTTAGGCGGTGTAAGTAGCAAGAAGGCGGCCGTAGGTAGATTTCAGGCCATTATAGCCGACAACGTGGTGATGAGCTTAATTAAACAGTGGCAGATGTAGCCAACTCCACAAGGACACCTCAGTGGCTTGAATAGCGTTGAACAACGTCGAATGCAGAGTCCCTAGCCATCATCGAGCTCGATATTGTGGGGTTCAAAACGTGTTCACCGCAGTTTGAGCTGGCCTTTTTACACATCAAGCCTGTATGGATATACCGAAAAGGGGCTGTTCTCCCAAAAGAATTACACTAAAATTTATGGGGCCAAGATAAAGACGTAGACAAACATTACTCTTCATCCGCATACACCCAAGACAGAATATATTTGTTGTTAAGCACTTCGAAAATATATCTACGTCAACGATGTAGCTGGAAGGAAACACCTACCTACGTACTTGCCTGTACATAGTTGCATGTGCATAGGTACCTACGTACCCTGATGAAACGTAAGGTGGTAGGTACCTGTATTAGGTAAACCTAAAATGTCATAACAGATACCTCAAGCAAGTGCGGGGTCCTGATTGGGAGGGGCAGAGAACTCAATAGAGTAAGATTCTTATCTTATCGATCTCATCTTTCCAGACTTGTAATGCAAACCCTTGCAATTCTTCCCTTGGATCCCTCAAGCCTAAAGTTGTAAGTTGTACTTGTTCAACATGGCTTCAGAACTCAATGATGACTATACGGCCAGCGGAGATGGAGCCGCAAAGCTTGAGAATAGACGTATACTCATCCTCTATGGTTCCGAGACGGGGAATAGCCAAGACTTGGCCGGTGACATTGAACGGCTTGCAGAAAGGTTGCACTTTAATACGCATGTTCGTGAAATGAACGACGTTGAACTTGTAAGTTGAAATTCATTTATTCATTCATGATTGCGAAGTCTAGTGACTTATCGTTTGTAATTTACACTTGCGCATATTCTATTTCACGGTTGAAAATATTAATGTCTTTTACACTTCATTCCTTTGTATTTTTTACTGGGTGCACGGGACAATAAGTCGTCCTTCAGCTCCAAGGTCGGGAAATCCTATCAGTTCAAATAATTTACCATTATTGTCTACTTGTAAAACTGGCCACGCTCTCGTGCCATTTATTGTGCATGGCATACCTACCTACCTACCGAGGTATACAAGTGTCAACAGGCAAAAAACCAAAACCAAACCCGACAACACATACCCATAGTAACCAGATCTATCTCGTTTAGAATACATTACTACAATACCCTTTAATCATATTCGTCATTTCTACCACGGGCCAAGGCGAAGTACCCAAGAACGCTCGCAAGTTTTGGAAGAGTCTCCTCCGCAAACGACTTCCTCCAAATTGTCTGCAGCTAGTTAACTTCACCACTTTTGGTCTCGGCGATAGTTCATACTCCAAGTATGCAACGTCCTTAATCCTCCCTCCTCCCCTAACCCTCCTTCTCAATTACATCATCGCCGACTAATTTTCTTAAATTTACTTTATTCAGGTACAACTGGGCAGTTAGGAAACTTCACAAACGTCTTGAACAACTTGGTGCGACCGAGTTCTTCCCACGTGGCGAGGCTGACGAACGTCACCAAGACGGGTAAGCAAGCATCTTCCGCTCTCTTTTTCTCTCCATCTCATTCTTCGACTTTTTTAGTCCCTTTATCTCACTTGCAGTATTGAACTGACCCTTTCTTATATATAGTATTGACGGTACTTTCTTATCCTGGTCCCTGAGCCTTCGTAGTCATCTTCTGAAGGAGTATCCATTACCTGTCGGTCTATCACCTATACCCCTAGATGTGCAACTTCCTCCCAAGTTCACATTAGAGCTAGCACCCACGATGGACCTCTCAGATGAGCTCATGCCTGACCGTGATGGGTACCAAGTCGGGAATTTAAAGAGTGCAAATTTGACATCTCCTATTGTCAAATCGTCGAATGGGTATCATCATCCTGCGCATCATGATCAGACTCTCGACGAAAAAGCAGCACTTTTTAGTCATGCCGACACGCCTAACCCAGAGCAGTTAGAGCAAGCTCTGCGAGCAGAGAGGATGTCTATCAATAGCAATAGCTATCCGGCACGTCTATCGGAGCAGACAGCCAAGCAAATACAGGGCGGGATAGATATTCTAGACCGACCAAATGTTCTAAGAGACCACCCATCTAAATACCTCCTAGAGGACCCGAGTAGTTGTAAAGACGCTCTTCCCCCCTCAGATCTTCTTCCGATACCGAGAGGCTGGGTCGCACACTTGCGTGAGAACCGTCGCGTCACTCCTATTAATCACTGGCAGGATGTCCGCCATCTAGTTCTCGAAGTCCCTACACAGCCAAATTCCAACAGAAGGGGCGATAAAGAGCTCTTCAGCTACGTCCCGGGTGATGCAGTCCTCATTTATCCCAAGAATTTCCCGGCGGATGTACAGACATTGATTGATCTCATGGGTTGGAACGACGTCGCTGATATGCCCTTTGAGCATCGCGCAAGGCAGCAAGATGTGCTTTATTCAAAGCCTAAGAATTGTTACCCCATTCCTAACTCTACTTTACGCGAGCTCCTTATTCACAACTACGACATAACTGCTATTCCGAAGCGCGTATTCTTCCAAGACATTGCTTTCTATACAGATGACCCTATGCACCAAGAGCGCCTGCGGGAATTCGCCAACCCTGGCCTCTCGGACGAATTCTACGACTACACCTCTCGACCTCGACGATCCATTTTAGAGGTTCTCCAAGATTTCCCGTCGGTCAAGATTCCCTATCAACATCTTCCATCCATTTTCCCTGTCATGCGAGGCCGAGAGTATAGTGTCGCGAGCGGCGGCCAACTTCTTAGGAACGAACAAAACTTGGAGATTACACGAATCGAACTTCTAGTAGCGTTGGTGAAATACAAGACGGTTCTACGAAAAACTCGACAGGGACTCTGTTCTCGTTATTTAGAATTCTTGCGCCCCGGCACGAATATCATGATCACCCACAGGGAATACGATACGCTGGAAGCCAGTTGGACTCGCAGACCATTATTGGCAATTGCCCCAGGCACGGGTGTCGCGCCAATACGTGCCCATCTTTGGGATCGTATCGACGAATCGCAAGCCGGCGACGCTCTCCTCTTTTTTGGCGGTCGAAACCGTAACGCCGACTTCTACTTCCAAGAAGAATGGGAAGATCTTAGGGTAAAGGTTCTCACAGCGTTCTCGAGAGATCAAGAGGAGAAGATCTACGTGCAGGACCGTATCCGTGAGCAGTGGCAGCTGGTCTGCGAATTTATCCAGAAGGGTTGCGTAATCTGCATTTGTGGGAGCTCGGGGAAGATGCCGGAGGCAGTTAAATTAGCCATACATGACGCCATGGTAATGGGAAAGATGGCTCCTGATCGTGAGGCCGCAAAACAGGTACTGGCCAGGAACAACCCGTTATGGGAGGAGGTTTGGTAACGAACAGAATGATTTTATGAGTGGCAACGCTACTCCCCCAAGACTGTACCATTCACCAGTCATCATGGTAGATGTAACAATAACCACGCTGAGCAATAGCTTCGATGTAAATACTAGGACATATTCCTATTCCTAGCTATTAAATTAACATGAGACTTAATGAATAGCTCCATAATTTTCACCTATGTGTTCGTTCATCTATCTTGCCGTGTGGCATGACTTACCCTAGGCCATACTCACCATATATTCCTCTCTTATTACTATATTCCTTGGCTTTTTAGGTCTTTAGCTACCCCTAAAGCTTCACTTAAGATCTATTGGGGCTAGATTTGAAAGTTTATCAGACCGGTTCATTCTACAGTGCTTTTTCGAGTCTATTACCGTCGAAATAACTTTGAACAGCACAAGACCAGGCAAGTAGACTCCTGTCATCCGCCCCATCCTCCCCCCCGTTAGTCTAGCCTGTGTGTTTAATCGTACCCTTCGTGGACGACATTACTCGTTATATATCCCCCATATTTCTTGGCAACTTCGCTACTGCTAGGAGTCGAGGCTAAAGATTGTATATTAGAGGCCAAACTTATATTATTACTACGAGCAAATATTTCACTAGCTGAATGGGGGGATGTCTTCAATACATAGCATGATCGACCTAACACTTTCGTACGCTAATATGAAATAACTACCTACCTATGTCATGACAGAAAACTAGGTAGTATTACTGTAGCTCATATACTCTGTAGTTCTATGTATGGGCGACAGAATGTCGGATCGGCATCATGACCGTTCGGAACAATGGAGAAATAATATATCTCGTAGTCCTGGACTTGTAAGATGCTGCATCTCAATAAATGATATAGGCAGGTACCTATATATGATTTCATGCTTTTTGATTTCTTGTCCATAGAGCTATGCATTGGGATATCAAATACTTTAGCCCAATCACGCACTTCCCTTCCTCCGAATTCTAGCGGTCTGCAAGTACTATCAACCCACATCATTCATTCTCTATATGCACGATCGCGATGCCGCCGATACCTCGAGAGCCTCCGGCTGTTGCGTTGCTGACGTACTTCATAGGTCTAAGGGATGAATCCCTACTACCCGGTATTAATCGGCTCTGCCACGGTAGGTATCTATTGTCTCATTTTGGATAATATTGTATTCAAGTCGCATGGGAGATCTAGTATTATCAACGGAAATGGGGTCTGATGTCCTTACGGAAGTCTTTGTACCTGTGTAATTACACAGATAGCAGGATGATGATATATATACTGCTTTGAGTGCTATTCCCAGATAATATACATTTTCTTTATTTGTAGAGGTAGGTATAATTGTTACTTGTGGAAATTGACGTGGTGGTGAGGTCCTACTTATGCGGTATTCAACTCCGACTCAAAGCAAGCGAATCTCAGTATAACTTGATATATAAGTCGAGCAACTGCTGCTGTAGCTAACATTCCAATGCTCCTACAGAATAAGAGGAGTGGTAAAGCTACGATGCTATAACCCAGTAATCGCCATAGTTACACATATGGTTAATAAGTAGGCCGTCTAATAGCCTTTTGCATGAAAACGCCTACAGACAGGATTGCGCTCCTCTACCTATCACACGCACTTTACACTAGTTCAAGGCTTTCAAATCGCGGAACAGTTCGAGACAAATACTAAACTAACTCCCGTTTCAGCAGGAGCCCGTCGATAATGCATCTAGTCTACTTAGAGTGGAGCTATTCCTACAACTGCAACAGAAGACGCCGTCGCCACGTGCCCAGAGCTTCTACGGGGCAACTCCGAATCGGGGTTCTCGGTCAGCAACCCGGTATATACACATGTATGTATGTAGTGCGAGATTGACGTTACAACGGTTGAATTTTCGACATACATAGGGGGGATTAAGTGTGGGTTCAGTCCGCGTGCCAAGGAGGACGAAAGAAAAAGAACTTACTATGTACATTGTAGCGACAAGAAACACGGTGGAGGGTTTAATATCATCAAGTCTTACTCGATACGGCACTTCTGCAACTCAACCTTTACGTCTTTATTAATACGTCACCTGGTATATCACGATAACTAACTAAAACCACGAAAGAATTTGACGCGCGAGAGGCGCGTCTCATTAACCCGGATATGTACTACGACAACAAAATAAAATAAAATAAATCATGCACATCTCGAATTCGTTCGGGGAGAGCGAAGGATCTGGGTTACATCGAACGAGTGAGTGCGACTCTGCGCCGGCGAGGGACCCGCGCGGCAGCGGGCCCGTGCCGCTTTCCAACGTTGCACTATGGGATTCCGGTAACGTTTCAAGAAATGACAAATGCCGAGGCAAAATGCAAAATACTGGTGGTACATCACAATTCGTACACTATGTAGAAAGGGGATCGACGCTACAGAAACTTCTCTCCCGTTCGATAGAGCTTGTGTGTTTCCCTGATTCTTTTCAACCTTGCCCCCCCCCCCCCCTTGACGATGCAATGCGGCTCCCCCCACGCACCATGCACGTATATACAAGGTATGTATGTAGGTAATGTAGTGTATGTATGTGCCTAAGGTAGGCCATCCTAGATAGATAGGTACACAGGTAGATAGCTAATTAGTTATATACAAGGCTCTGTTCTCTATACCCAATCCTTTGGCCCCCAACCCAAGCGCCAACGCCGATGGCTGTGTGCGTGTGCGCGCGACCCGGGTATCATAACGTCGTCATGTGAACGATTGGGCTTTTGTACTGTTTTCCCCCTTTCTCTCCCTGTCCAGCCCCTTGCGCCGTGGAAAATGAATCGCCCAAGTCTCCAAACTAACCAACTAACTAACCCACCCCCTTTTCTAGGGTAGGTAATAGCAGCAGCGGGATGCCTGGGCGATGGTGTAATATCAATGGAATGGAAGTAATAGATGCCTCGTCACAACTAGAAAAGCAAGGACCCTAGACACCCGACGCCAACCGAGAACAGCACATACGACCGATCTGGCCGCTGCAAAAGCGTCCCGGCGCTATCATCTTTCCCCGACGTCCCAGTCGCCGTCGGAATCGTCATCGCGGCATTGTTCCCGCCCCCGCCGTTATGGTGACCGCCGGCGCCAGCGCCAGGGAAGATAGTGATCGTGGACGCGTATGGCGCGCCTAGCGTCCACGTCGACATACCCACACCGTCCGGCCCTATCGTCAGCGTGTGTCCCGCGATCACCGTCGTCACGGGCGTCGCCGCCCCGGGCCCGATGTGGAATGTCCGCCCGCTGATCTCGACCGCTGTTAGACCTAGCTGCGTCACCGTTGCTCCGCCTACGATCTCGTACTTGGTAGCGTCCGGGGCCGCCGTTATGCCCCCCAAGGTTTCGCCTCCCTCGTGCAAGACCACGCCGGTCGGGGCAACTAAGACCGTGTCCCCGTCGACAATTGTCGTGAGCGTGCTGCTGCCTAGCGCGGTTGACCCGTATGTTATTGTTGTGCCGGAGATTACCACCGTATCGGAGCCGATGGCTGTGATCAGTTGTCCGCCCATGACGGCTGTCTGCGTCGGCCCGGATCCCGCGGCTACATGCAGCGTCTGGCTGGGGAAGACGAGTCCCGCGGGTCCGATGGTGATCGTTTGTCCCCGAACTACGGCTATCGTCGGCGTGGGCGCGATGGTAAATACCGTGCCGTCTATCGTTGCGACTGAGGAGGGTCCGAGGACGACCCCTAAACCGCCGATAGAGGTTGTGGTTGGCGGGGGTTGAGGTGTGAAACCCCCTCCCACGTCGATTGGGGGTCGGGTTACGGTAGCCCCACCACCTACTACCTGGGATGGGTCGATGACAAAGGTCTCGTCTCCCACGATCACAGTGGACGTCTTTTGCGTTGGGCTGTCGGTGAATGTGCGGTCGTCGATGATTACTTCGCCAGGCTGCACTATCACGGTTAAAGGGGGTCTTCCTCCTTCGTGGTTATCCCCACTATTGGGAGGCGGAGTTGGCGAAACCTTAGCGGACTCAATGGGGGTCGGGTCCATACCATACTCAGGGGTAATTACGTGGCTGCTGCCGCCCTCGACCGCTGTATCGTGAGCATCTGGACCGGAGGGCGATCCGCCGTAGCTAGGAGGTGTCTGGGTTGGAAACACCACGGCGGGGTTCTTGTCTGTCGTAACGAAGGTAACCGTTGCCGTCGGCTCCGCGGGATCGGTGGGAGTGACTGTACCTGGTGGAACGGAAGTGTGGATAAAAGAACAGGTCTTGCCTGTGCTGTCACAAAAGGTAATGGTAAAGCGACCGGTTGGGCTCTGCTTAGGAGTACATGGTATGGGTGTGCTTACAAGCGGGTAAGGGGGTGTGTAGTCGTCCGGATCCCCAGTCCATGTTGTAGTGGATGTGTGAATTATAGAATAAGAGGTAATCGTTAATGGACCGCTCTCTTTGGCCGGGCACTCGCTCGGCGTAGTGGTAATAGTCGAGGTTGTGCTGACGGCTGGTGGCGGTGGCGGCGGCAAAGTCACGGTGGGTGAGGTAAGTGACGGGCTACTAAAGGTAGTATTCCAATTCCATGATTTCGAAGTCCCATTGAAATCAAATGACGAGGTTAGTGTGGGAAAAGAGGTCTCGTCGTCCGTGTTAGAACTTGGGCTACTGAAGACTGGCGGGGAAGAAATAATAGGGCTGCCTCTTGTCGGGGATGATGTTGGCAATACAAGCGTTGGCCTCCCAATTGTGGTGATGGTTCCCAGGTTAAATAGCGTCCACCAAGGATAGGATTCCGTTGAAGAAGAGCCATCTTCGGAGGATTCCACGATCACAATGGACGCATCACTAGTAGAAGTATCAATTGTCGTAATTGAAGTGACATCTATAGGGCTCTCATGTGTCTCCGAGCTCGACACTGCGAGACTGGAAGCTAGTATGTCGAACGAGCTGGTGACCACGACGGTCACCGAGCTGTTATACGATGATATTCTTTTGTAGAGCCGACCTGGACGGAACTCTACTATGCAGTTAATACGGGCGAGTAGCTAAGAAGGAAGACCAGCTAGTCTCAACTAACCATCTCTATCTCTGACCGATTCCAGGCCATGACTTAGGGACACCACGACACATAGCAGTGTTGAGATAACAAAAAGCATCGCGTACCCGAGACGAGTACTGTCGTTTGCCCTATTTCTCTTTCACCCGGCGCTTACACCGGCGT